TAGGCCGATGTGACACTTTCGTTTTCACCAAGTTCTGGTTACCTAATTTCTGGTTAGTTTAATCATTGTGAATAAAAACAAAAATCGACTTTCAAATTTTTCAAGCACTGAAGAAAGTATTTTAATAACAATGGCGAAACTCTACCCAATGTAATCGAAAATGAAAAGACTGACGAAGTGGCCTGGGAGAAAAAACGAAAAGCTTGAGATAGCATTGATGCCCAAAAACTGAAAAATTGAAGAGGAAGTGCTTCAGCTTTATTATTAAAAATATTACTATCGTGCGCATAACTAGGCCATCTGCATACAAGGTCCGTTATTTCCAATTCACGTTGGACGAAAAGTACCCTTCTCTGTTTTGAAAAATGTCGGCAATTTCTCCAATCACCTGAGGGTTTCTGATATGAGTGCGCAACACCACCTGTGGAAGCTTCGCTTTCGTTGAAATGTGCACATTGCATTTTCAATTTATATGCTTGTTTGTGGTATTCTATTCTATAGCTATAGACACTGTATTCACCACCCGACTTGCAGTCGCCACGCTTACTCCGCAGAAATCAGCAACACAAATCATAAAACTTCACGAACTCTCACGACAGCCGGTTCTAGGCACCGGAGTTGACCCGGATTTTATCCGGCCAAGTTCTGTCACTCTTTCGGCGACCTAACCCCGTTTAGGTCTACAGGTAACTTTAGTCTAAGTTCGCCAATGGAACAACACCTCGCAGCTGTGCTGCTCCAAATCCTTCTGATCAGAGCTGGTGTAGAAACCAACCCTGGACCGACGGATTACTTCTGCTGCGTGTGTCATAGAAGACTCCACCATCCACCTCGGTTAGATGCACCTTAAGACCTGCTCAGGCCTGTCTTAAGACCCACGGGAAATGGACCACGAGTTATGTGGCCCCATGCTGCCAGCGTCCAACCGCCCCCTCAGCCTCCGCGGCAGTGCCTTCAGCACATATACCCACTCTGGGTAATCAGCAGACCTCCACGGTCTTACGAAGCTCCCCGCAGTATGATTCCCTCCAACCTCCTCCCACATCCCCACCCACAACCAGCTCCTCATCCTCCTCCCGTGCGAGGGCTACCCAGCAGCTCCTAGTCCTCCGCACTGTCTGTTCCGTGTGTCAGACCATAGTGCTTCGGAACGTGAACTCAGTCAGATGCAACTTTTGCTCTGGCTGGTGTCACTTTCTTACGTGCTCTGGCCTGCGCACCACCCGTGAGTGAAGCGATGCCCCGTGCTGTAGGAGTCTGCCCCCACATGTTTCGACAAACCCTCCGCCAACTAACACTAATGTCCAGAAAACGAAGTTGACCGCCCGATCAGATCTTCTGAGCCGGGCCGGATACAACATAACAACAAGGATCGCGAGCGAGACCACGATGGGGGTTTAGCGTTCATCCTGCACAACGCTGTGCAGTATCGTCTTATCGATGGCGACATCGACCGCAGATATACTACCCTAGAATGTCAGGGCATAGCTATCCGGTCAGGCGATGTCGAGCTCGAAATATTCAATATATACATTCCTCCAGTTGCCCAGCTGGATACACGCTACTAAGGGGCGAAAACCGTTTGGTTTTGGGCGACTTTAACGCGCATCACGATCTTTGGCATTCTAGCCTGTAAAATGACCGTAGAGGAATGAAGCTGGCGGAACAGATAGACGATTCGACATTCTGCACAATGAACGACAACACTTCCACCAGAGTTATGGGTAATTGCCACAGCTCGCCATACATAACAATTGCGAGTGCTGGTCTGATAAACAGTATAGTCTGGCGACCTATACTGACGTTAGCATCGGACCACTTGCCCATTCAAATCTCGATTGACAGGCCTCCCGACTTTGTTTCCGCGGACCACCGGACATTTGTTAACTTTAAAAAAGCTAACAGGCCCGGATTCACGGAATTTACTAAGAACGCCTTCAGTGCTCTTCCCACTCCAACTGACGTCACCGCTGGTGAACGCTTATTCCGCAGGGTCGTCGTGACCGCTGCCGCCCGCTTCATCCCGGCAGGCCGAATTGCGGAAATCCGCCCAAATTTTCCGACAGAAGCGGCGGTATTAGCATCCAGGGGCGACACCCTCCAAAGCTCCGATCCCGGGAATCCCCTAATCAGGGATTTAAACGCGGAGATTCGAAGAGTTGTCAACAGTCATAAGCGGAAAAAGTGGGAGGAGCACCTAAGGACCTGCAACCTCTCCTCTGGGGCAACCAAGCTCTGGGCCACAGTCAAGTCGCTGTCTAACCCGACGAGACGCGATGACCGGGTGGAAATTTCATTCGGTGATCGCGCCTCGTCGGACCCGAAGAGATGCGCGAGCTATTTTAGCCGTCTTTTTACACTGCATCCCTCGGTAGACAAAGCGAAACGACGTGTGACCCGCCGTATGCGCAAACTGCCAAACACCAGCGCGGTGCTTGATTTCTCCAGGGAGGAGGTTCAGGGGTCATGGGGAAGGCGAAAACCTCCAAATCCATCGGCCCCGACGGAATAAGCGTGCTGATGGTGAAAAACCTTGGACCAGCGGGAGCAGAATTTCTCACGAGGGTCCTCAATTTGTCTCTGATCACCCTGAAGATACCCGACGTGTGGAAAATGGGTAGAGTGGTCCCGCTACTTAAGCCGGGGAAACCAGCCAACAAAGGAGAGTCCTATCGGCCGATAACTTTCCTCTCCCCAGTAGCGAAGACACTTGAGGCCTTACTGCTCCCGACCTTCACTCACCATCTGCGTCCAGCAGCGCATCAGCATGGCTTCCGAAAAGTGCACAGTACCACAACAGCACTTAACGCCATAAACACCCAGATAGTCCATGGCCTCAACCAAAACCGACCCTGCGCGCGAACTGCCCTAGTAGCCCTGGACTTGTCAAAAGCTTTTGACACAGTCAATCACTCAGTGCTACTAACGGACATTGAGTAATCCTCATTACCGCCGAGGTTGCAGAGGATGGGCTACCCGAGTGGTCGACAATCATCGGTAATATTCCGAGGTGAAACATCGAAACCCAGAAAAATTAAACAGGGGGCTCCGCAGGGTGGTGTCCTCTCCCCGCTACTGTTTAACTTTTACATCGCGAAACTCCCTCCATCACCAGAAGGAGTTTCCCTAACCTCGTATGCCGATGACTGTACGAAAATGGCGTCCGGCCATGATATTGATGACCTCTGCTCGAAAGTGAACTGCTACCTTGCCGACAATTAAAAATGCAGCCGACTAACTCCTCGGCTACCCTTATCATCAGCTGGACGAAGGAATACAGACCTAAACTAGATGTGAAGGTCGATGACACAAAATTTCCGACGATAAATAACCCACAAATATTGGGAGTAACTCTAGACAGCCTGCACTCCTTCACTCCGCATACGGCCGCAATTACCGCAAAACTCCAGAGACGCAACAAAATACTCAAAGCGCTAGCCGGCAGCACCTGGGGTAAAGATAAAGAAACTTTGCTGGCTACTTACAAAGCAATTGGCCGGCCGGTCGTAAACTATGCTGCACCGATCTGGACGCCAGGGACGAACAAGACGCAGATGAAGAAGCTACAGGCTTGCCAAAACACCGCCCTCAGGATCGCGACAGGAAACCTCCTGATGTCGCCGGAGCATCACTTGCACAGGATGCTACCGCAGGGAGCACCCCAGCAGGCACTTAATAGAGGCTGAACCTCCACCTAGGCACATCAGAAAGGGAGTACTAGACTTTAAGGACACAATCCAGCAACACACACAACAACCGCTGGACAGGACGGCGTATCGACAAGCACTGAACGCCATTCACCAGGAGTCAGTTAACACCTTTATGGGCTCCCTTCCTGTGAATGGCGTACTCGGAGAAATACCACCACCCATAGCAGACAACGAGCTCGAGCTGCCTCGAAAGACCCGCGTGACCCTGACACAACTCAGGTCTGGATATTGTAGCAGGTTAAACTCCTACCTATCCAGACTAGACCCCAGCATATCCAACGTATGCCCTGCATGTGGAGAGTCCTCGCATGACACTAACCACCTCTTCACATGCCCCCTCAAACCCACTCATCTAACCCCCCTCTCCCTTTGGTCCAGCCCCGTCGAAACAGCTCGTTTCCTGGACCTACCACTAGATGACCTCGGCGACTTAGACTGATCAAACCTGTGCCTAAGCGTAGTTAGCGAACCGCTACAACAACAACAACATCAAACTTCACGGTGCATAGATGCGTGTGTTAAAAGCAACACTTCCGACGGCCTAAGTGCTTGATTCCTGTGAAACCAAATAAACTCTCAATATGATTTATTCACTCCATGCTTATTATATTCACGAACCTTCAAAGCAGTTTTGGAAAGACGAAATCTACGAACAAAAGCCTTTTCATCTTATTTCTCAAAAAATTTATCTTATACGGCACCTTATTTCCTATAATTATTTATTATTAATTGTTTATTATTTTACAATTTCCAGCTTCGAAATTATCTTCTGATTAAGAGCTAATCGCCACTCAATGTTGGCGTTAAGTTGACCGCAACGTAATTGACAGATGCTTCTTAACCGGATACTGAGAAAACGAATTTTATGCTACCTTCCGATTAAGTTTGATTAAGTGCTTAACCGAACATGGTGAAAACAGCTCTAAAACCGGTATAAAATCTCCAGGTGTACAGCTGCTCCATCTGTGTTTGAGTTTAATTATTACGAGCAAGTTTAAACGACTAAATATTTATCGATATGTATCTCAGTTTCATCTCCACCAATCAGAAATTTTATTTTTCCAATAGGAGCCTGATGTAAATTTAGTCAACATCGACTATTTTACACACCTTCATGTTGTATGTCCTTTTTTGTTGGAAATTAACTCTGCACAATTTACATAACTCGGAAACACGTGAATCGATCAAAAAACTATGAGTATATCCGTAAAAGAATATTTATGTATGTTCATGCATATGCCAAGCCTAATACGAGCTGGACATTAGGAAAATATTTCAACAATAAATTACCTTTTCCAATGTTTTCTCAAACCCGGTTGACTTCGATATTATGTTCGAGATAGTTTTAACAAAATCAGCACCCCTCTTTGCAGATCCCATTATTGTAAACTTACTAGTGATGGACATTCGGATAACGACTAATCAAACATGTAAGGAAGACTAAGTTCGAGTGAAACCGAACATTACAAATAAATGGAACAAGAATGAGCGCATTGTGTGCATTGTGCTAGGCTTTAGTGTGTGCTTCGTTGGAATTTCTTGAAAATCTAGAAAAATGGTACAAGCCAGTTAGCAAATGCTCTTTTCATTTCGTTAAATTTTTTCGATTTCCGTCGCTCCCACAGTGTTTGGTGTGCGTAAAAGTTGAGCTTAGGTGAAAAGAATAGAATTTTCGTCTGTTAGTCTGTACAATTATTACAGTGAACAAGTTTATTCAGAAAAATTGTCGGGAAAAAAGATAGGTATAAAACTTAATGAGGCAGTTTCAAGGTACAATCGGTTATTCAAGCGAAATATACATACATATTTAAACTTCCTAAAATGTAATTAAAAATTTGTGAGTTCCAAATGTCAAAACTTGAACTCGTCCAATGTTGATGTAGTTAGCTTGCTCATCTATTTTGTTTGAGGGTAGGGTTTCCAGAACTCTTCTTGTCTGTCATAAGAGGCAACTAAAATTCCCAAAAACAGTCGGGTTCTTAAACAGGAATAACACGGATTTTCACCCGGACAAGGACTGTCACCCAATTATAGTAATGAAATTATGGAATGTTTTTGCGGCTACATAAACAACAACAACTAACTAACAGAGCTAAAGGCTCTGGGTGCAAGTCCTGGTGAAAATTATAGAAATTTTTACATAAATATATTAAGTTTTTTATTTATTATGTCATTCCCTCTGAGTGTATTTCTGTCGGGAAATAAAAGTATAAAATTTATGGTTATCTGCATTAAGGGTATAAATTTTTTGCGATAGTCAAAAAGTAAAATAAGCTTTTGGCATAACGTTCGGTTCACACGAACGGTGGAAAATTAGGATTGGTCGCTCAGTAAAGGTTGGTTAAGAACTATTCATTGTAAAGCTACCTTTCAAATCAAAAATGACTATCGTTTCGGTTGAAATTACTGTTAACAGATAATGTTAAGGATAAAATTTAAATGTGCTGTTAAAGCAAAGCAAGCAGTAATTCTAAAATTAACGTTATCGATGAGGTTTGTGCGATATCAACGTTAACGATTCTATTTGGTTTAGTTAATTTTTCTTGTCGGCGAAACGGAATGATATCGTTGCGTTTGTGCTCATGACTGGACAATTTTAAACCAAACTGTTTTTATCGTGCAACTATACGTTTATTAAAAAAGAAAGAAAATATTTATGACCATTGACCTTGAATGCAACTTTTAACGAAGATGGGATCAGTGAAGAATTTCCAGGATTTATTTAGTGTGATATGTCTTACGTTTTTATTTTAACTACTGACCTAAACGAGGTTATGTAGGAGAAAGTTACATCACATTGCCGGATAAAATCCTGATCAACTTCGGTGCGGAGAACCGTTACACGACTTATATTTTGGCCCTTAAATTTAACATATGTTTTCTGCTAAGGATTTTTCAATTAAAATTTAGTTTGGTGTCAAACAGTATGACTTCTAATTACTATATATAAAATTCGTACGGAAACTCCGGCTGCCATCGTCGTCGAAATCGCTCGTTTCCTAGATTTCCCTTTGGACCACTTCGAAGACGTCGAATAAATTTGTCTACTCATAATCGAGGTTACCCAGCCGCTACAACATTTGACTGTTTAAATAAAACTATACATTTATTTAATGATACAAATATATATTTTATTATAGAAATATGAGCAGAATTTGCTTTTAATAAATGTTTCTATGTAAAAAAGCACTTTTTATTTGGAGCCTACACCTTCACTTTCTTTTTTCCGTTCTTCTCTTATACGCTTAAAAGCTTCAGTTTTTAAAAAATCTACTGAATTATATACTACACCACTTGTTGGAGGACCTTTGGATAATAAGTCTGGTTTATTTGAGTCCTGCTTGGTTAAGTTACATCCTATACTTTGACGATTTACTGTAGGTGGATTTGCCACGTCCAAATCAAAATACTGAAGTTGGGGCTCATCCCGCATATTTGTCGGTAAGGGATTAACTTTAACAGAGGGTTGATGTAACGTACTGGTTATTGAGGCTGATCGCTGATGCAAAGCTGAAATGTCGGAAGTCAAATGCATTTTGTTGTTATCTGGAAGTGATGTTTCAATCATGTATTCCTCTCTTTCGGATGCCGCTCCTATTGAAGATAGTACATCCACAGGCCGTTTTAGTTCCTGTTCCACCGAAATCGGGTTTACTAACTGAAAATTTTATTATTAAGAATTTTACTAAAAATAATAAAAAATACTTTCTTTTACCTTATAAACATTGGGTTTCAGATTTCGGTCAACAGAAGGTGGTGTTAAAGCTAAGCTATCCTCATGCAATGTATTTCTTTTAGCCCTATCCAATGTACATTGATTTGCTGACGATCCATCAACTGTTTTATTAATTTTTGGTTTTAGTTTACGGTTTACAGGTGGCAAATTGGTCTAGAAATATATAAATAAAACATTAATTACATTAATAATACAACCACTTTGGAAAATGCTTCAAGTAAATTGAAATTGGTAAACAATAATGCTTGTAAATGCTATAAAGTGAAAAAGTTGTATACAAAAAATATTTATAACTTAACAACATAAATTTTTAAGATATAGCAAGAAAACGTAAGTTGCATCTACAACAACAACTCCTGCGAATTTCAATAAGATCGGACAACTCTTTTGGTTCAGACGAATAACCTGGCGTAACTTAACGGAACTCAATGAACAAACCTAATAAGTACAATAGTTCTGTATTGATCTCAATTTCAATATACGGTTTCCGATTCGCTTCAAGTTTAAAATAATTGTAATAATTATTACTCATATATTTAATTTTTTTTTTGGTTACGTCAATTTAACAATTATGACACTATAACTTATTAATTTCCAGATCTCACTGATGAATAATACTCTAAGAAAGATTTCATTCAAACCTTGTTGAAAAACCAGAAAATGTATGTTACAGTATGGAATCAATTGATAATTTAAAGAAATTCAAAAATTTTAAACATAAATAATATATAAATGTGGCAGTATTATAAAAGTCAAAGATGTATAGAGATTACGTGGTTAAAAGAAACAAACATAAATATACCGACTTACAGGATCAACAAAATCATAACGAAATACGTTTCCTTCCAATTTATTTGGAGCCGCGTTTGTATAGAAATGCTTTTGCACACTTTTTTGAGCATCAGTTTTCGGGTCGGCAATTGCGTCCATTGATTTAGAAATTTTCGTAGAACTTGCGTTTTCAGGACTCCAAATTTTTTCCTTAAACATTTGATCTATGTTATGATATGGCAGCTGATGTGATCTTGGTATGTCATAGCTTTCGTCAACTAATGAACTCGCATCTTGTGGTCCGATTGCTGGCGAAGTGTTCTCGGTATCAGATAATTGCAACACTTCTCTTAAAGTTCTGCAAATAATATTTATTAATATTATCTTTATGAACCAGAGAAAGGCAGAATACTATATTTTTTTGAACTGCTTGTTGTTCACTTTATAATGAAATAATACCTTTCATTGTTTTTAATATCCAGAGATAGGTTCCGTTTGTTTTTGTAGATGCTCATTCTATCCAGTTGATTTTTATTTTCTGTGTCTACATTATATTTCATATCGTAAACCTTTTCTGTGACATCATCAGGCATTTTAGAAAATCGCTGCGAATACGTTAACACAAAAGACTCATTTTCAACAGAACTATCGGAAGGCCTTGTACTCCGATCTGAAACGAAAAATTGTAAGTGAGCTGTTATTTAAGACTTTATTAACATATACAAAAAAATATACATGATTCCGAGCTTATTAAACACTAAGATTAAAATCCTGGTACTGGTAGAATTATTTTTGTCATATCTTAGTATCTAAATAGCTACCTATGTTATATTAAATACATAAAAATCCGTTTTGACTAAAATTTTAAAACAAATATATAAACAATCCGTTTACCTCGCAAACTCAAGCAGACAAAAATTTAAACTTTGCCTGTAAAATTTCGGTTTTATAAAATAGTTACCATAATTGCTAAACCTACCAACATTTTCTCGCAGAGGCATCGGATACGTCCATTCATCGTCATCTGTGAATACGCTCTCAGAATCTGAGTCTGAACGATTCAGGACCGGCGCGCCATCCTTGGAGGCAGTAATTTGTTGCTTTTCCCAAAAAACAAGGAAATATTAATATACATAATGAAAGTTTATTTTTAATTAATTTAATTTAATTACACTTACTGTATTACAATTAGTAATTTTTGGTGAATATGATTGGTCACTCGTCAGGTTTAATCCAATATTATTATGACTGCGGGGTGTATCGTAAAATTTTGGATCCAGATTATTTAGTGGAGTAATAGGATTTTCGAGCTGAAATTTTTAAGATATCAACTTTTAGTTTTTCTTTTGGAAAATATGGTTTAAGGTATCTTTTTTGAAGCATTAATAACTCTTATCACGATTTTCAGGATTTTTGCTTTACAACTAATTTGCTAGTCATACATACGAGTATATGTATAAATATTAAATTATTCAAAAACAACAATAGTCTTCTGTTTCTTAAAATCTGCAAATTATTTTCTAGGAAAGATAAGAATTCTCGATGTTAATACAAACATACGTTTGTCAGATATTCCAATTATTCATCTTTTATACAAGGCGCTTGGAATTTTTTTCTTTTAAAAGGTTATTATCAGTTCTGGTAATATTTCTGTTATATCTTAAAAATATTTTTTTCATTATCATTAATTATATAACAGGTGTACAACTTTGCTTCCACCGTTTTTTCCAAAATTAATGCTTTATTGCGAAAAAGTGCTTACAGATATATTATTCAAAGTATTGTCCTTCGCTAGCGACAACTTTCTTTCATCTTTCCGGCAATTTTCGGATCCCGGCTCAAAAAAGGAGTCCTCTTCTGAAGCTATCCATTTTTCCAATTCTTCGAAGGATTGAAAATGTTGCTCTGCCAGGCCGTGTGCCATCGAACGGAATGGGTGGAAGTCAGACGGGGCGACATCTGGGGAATACGGCGGGTGGGCAAGACTTTCCATTTCAGCGTTTCCAGGTACTTTTTGACCACGACGTGAGGCCGAGCATTGTCGTGTTGGAGGATGACTTTGTCTTGATATTGTGGCCGCTTTTCTTTTAGCGCGCGACTAAGGCGCATCAGTTGCGTTCGGTAGCGATCTCCTGTGATGGTTTCACCCGGTTTTAAGAAGTTTTTGAAGGTTTTGAAGGTTTTTTCTCTTCCACCACCATGTTTGTCTTCGACATCGAAATCACCATTTTTAAAACGTTGAAACCACTCCCGACACGTTCTTTCACTCAGAGCAGCATCACCGTAAGTTTCTGAGAGCATTCGATGCGCTTCAGCTGCATTTTTTTTCGAATTGTAACAGAGAAGTAAAACTTAACGCAAATGGCGAGAATTAGGCAAATAAATGGACATTTTCGAGCGAGAATAATACGAAATCAAAAACAACTGTCACTGAAACGGCGATGACAATTCGTTAGGCACTGTCCACACTCACTTTAAAGGTACTATCATCTATGTATTTCAACCAGCCTCAGCCGGTACAGCCACCTATTGGAAAACGGAGGAAGCAAAGTTGTACACCTGATATTTGTCACTGATGTAAAAAATTTTGTTAATATAAACTACGCATTGTTTTTTTCATAAGCCTCAACGAAATGTAATTATTCTTCTTTAATTAATCATCTATAAATCCACAATAATGATTTTTAAAATCTGAAGCTCCTTCAGAAGATATAAGTCGTACTTGTTTAAATCAGTATTGCGCTCGTAAATTTTGCTTGTAAATATTAATTACTTACATGTTTTGGTATACCAGAGAAACATTCACTTATTGGAATATATGGCCCAGAAGAGGTGCTCAATGCAGGAGAAGGTTGAACACTATGTGGTATCGATTCAAAGAGAGGTGAATCTTGTATTTTTAAATTTTCTGGAATTTTTCTAATTGCCCCACTCGTTTGAAAACGATCTGCATTCCTTTCCTTTAGTTTCGATAATTCTGATGCATTAAGATAAATTTTTACACTATTATCGGAACTTTTAGCATTGATGCTACTCGTATCGCTGTTGTGTAAATTTGAACGTAAGTTATTCAGCTCCATACAACTCTTGTGTTCAGAGTTCACATACGTTGAGTCACTGTTTTCATATACCTTATTGCAAGATGCTGGCGGCATTGTAACAAATAGTTCTTCTTTTTTTATTTCTTTATTATTGTCAGATAACGCACTATTGCTGGCTGATCTGGTGGGTGTGTTTTTGTTGTTTGAAGAGCGCCATTTGCCTGAAAAAATATATGAATATATATTTGTAAACTTGTTTATTTGTATATTCAGTTGTCGAATAAGAAACTTTTCCATCTCAGATGCTTCTTTGACGAACTTCTCATCTGTTGCACAGTACCACTTTGCAAATCATTATGCTTAGATGCTTTTCTATCGGATTTATGACCCAAAAGCTCATATATGAAATTCGCTCGTATATATGCACATAATGGACCGATCTCGCCGGCTTGGTTTAAATATAATATTATATATTCGTTTAAATATTTTAGTGCGTTTGTGTCCTAAGTTTGGTTGAATCTCTAAACTGCGAATAGAAGCCAGAAGTTTTAAGGAATGAAGTCACAACGTTTTATCAACTCGTGAACCTGTTTCTGTTCGAAAGTTGAGGCTGTTTAATATTTTTTTTTCAAATCGTGTCATAAAGTGTTTGTGTTGAAAGTTAATAGATCATAAGAATGACCTTCAAAGAGTTTTGTTATATTTTTCATTAGGAAGCCAGTTATTTATTTCCACGAAAAAGTAAAATCAGAGCCTAGCTTAAAGTTCCATAGGCCACACAAATAAAAACAGGACAGAATAATGTATTTTACCCTCAGGACAGCCGGTTCTACGCACCGGAGTTGATCCAGCCAAGGGCTGTCACCCTTTCGGCGACCTAACCCCGTTTAGGTCAACAGGTAACATTAATTCACCCCTCGCAACACGAACTTTCCCTCGATTCCTACAATTCAATTGCAGACTCCAGGGGAAGCACCTGTCAATGGCTGCGATCCAGGAAACGAATTTGACCACCTGATCAGATCTTCTGAGCCAGGCCGGATACAACGTAATCCGCAAAAATCGCAAGCGAGACCATGGTGGCCGCTTAGCGTTCATCCTACACACCACCGTGTAATATCGTCTTATCGACGGCGACATCAACCGCAGGTATACTATCCTAGAATGTCAGGGCATAGTTATCCGGTCAAGCGATGCCGAGCTCGAGATATTTAATATATTCATTCCTCCTGTTGTACGTTACCCAGTTGGATATAGCGCTGTTATATGTGCGCTACTCAAAGCCGAAACCCGTTTGGTTTTGGGCGACTTTAACGCGTATCACGATTTTTGGGCCCGTATAGGAATGGAGTTGGCAGAACAGAATGTCGATTCTGCACAATGAACGATAACACCCCTACTAGAGTTATGGGTAATTGCCAAAACACGCCATACATATATAACAATTGGGACTGCTGGTCTGACAGTATAGCCTGGCGACGTGTACTGACACTAGCATCGGACCACTTACTCATGCAAATCTCGATTGAAAGGCCTCTCCCTACTTTGTTTCCGCGGATCACCGGACATTTGTCAACTTTAAAATGCTAATTGGTCTGGATTCACGGAATTCACCGAGAACCCCTTCAGTGCTCTCCCCACTCCATCAGACGTCACTTCTGATGAACGTTTCTCCCGCAGGGTCGTCGTGACCGCTGCCACCCGCTTCACTCCAGCAGGCCGAATCACGGAAATCCGCCCAAATTTTCCGACAGAAGCAGCGGTTTTAGCATCTAGGCGCAATACCCTTCGTAACTTCGATCCCGGGAATCTCCTAGTCAGGGATTTAAACGCGGAGATTGCCAGAGTAGTGAACAAGCACCAGCGGAAAAAGTGGGAGGAGACTTCAGGACTTGTAATCGGGCCACCAAGCTCTGATTGCGCGGTAATGGCGTCTGGCCAGGATATTGACCTCTGTTCGAAAGTGAAGGTAACAACCTTGCCGATTTCTCTCGCTTCTTTAGTGCTCAAAAATAAAAAAACAGCCAACTAAATCCTCGGCTACCCTCTTCACCAGCTGGACGAACGAAGACAGGCTTCAGTTAGATGTGAAGGTTGATGACTTAAAAATTCCGAGTATAAACCCAAAGATATTGGGAGTAACACTAGGCAGTCTGCACTCCTTCACTCCGAATACGATCGCAATTGCCGCAAAACTCCAGAGCTGCAAAAAAATATTCAAAGCGCTAGCCGGCAGCACATGGGGTACAGGAAAAGAAACTTTGCTGGCAAATTATAATTGGTCGGCCGGTCGTTAACTATGCTGCACCGGTCTGATGTCGCCTGAGCCATCACTTGCACAGTGAAACATCTATGCAACGAGTTAAGGAGCATATAATGCTTTGCTGCGCAAGCAACTTCTATAAGATTACCACAGGAATTTAGGGAGCTACTTATTAAGAGTGATTAGTATAGTATTTTTCGCTCCGAAAAGTGAGGGCCAAATATGCTGGAATAACAATTGAAATATTGACATAAACGGCGAAATGGTTCATATACTTATATATTTTACGTGATAAACGGATGAGAGCGTTAAAGTTTACTTCAGTCCATTTGGGTTTTACTTATAAAATACCCCTAGTATTTTTCTATGGCTAGAAAGAGTTTAAGTTTTAAACGACTAGTAATCCCATTTGAAATTACACAGAGCAAAAAATTTGTTTTCGAACGGACTAAATTTTATGTGACTCATAACTGCAATTAAAAATTGTTATTTAACGAAAAAAAAAATTTAATGAAATACCCCGGCAACTACATTTGACTTCACCTGTACATTTGCAAAAAAAAATTTTATAAAATATGGGAAATATATAAAATTTGAAATAATTACCTGGATATTCTAATGAATGGTTGGTATCATGCAAGTGGCATACTTGGCAAATACAATTAACCCAATCGCGCATGTCTTCTGCAGAATCGGCGGCTAAATAATAGGTACGCTTAGGAGTCTTAATATCAAACATGTACTGAAACTTTTGTTTTCTGTTCTCCAATCGAAGACCACAGTCAACTTGCTCGCACTGATCCAAATCAATTATGCCTTTGAGCTTTCTACAATTGCGGTCCGTATAATACTCGAGACAAAACTGCTCCGGAATTTCTCCTTGCTTTAAAGTAAACCAACGGCGACGCCAACGCTAAAATTAGATTAAAAAAATATTTGAAAGATTGTAGTGGTATATTATATACACAAAGATACAGTTTTAATTATTTAACAAACAGTCCAATTCTCGCGGAAATTCTCTCTTGCGGATTTTGAAATTCCGTAAGAAAAAATCGGCCAATTCTAAAAGCACAGGGAGAATGACTTTTTGGGAATAGGATTTTTTCTCATACGAAATAAGCTGCTTAGTATATTTGACATTTCATAATTTAGTGAAAAAAAACAATTGTTATTTAAAAAATAAAATAAATTAGAATTATGGATACTGTGGTACTATATCTATTTTCTGCTGAAGTAAATGTGGAAGAATGGCAACTAATTCTTCTTTATCGCAGATTAAATCTTGACGTTTGGTAAGATCTCCCGCTCCTGCAATCCAAACTTCATGACAGACAAGTTTTCCATCGACTCTTTCATCCCTTCTGGAGGGGATATTTTACGCTATGCATTAAGACCGGCTTCTTTCTTGTTTTATAGCCTTCAAGGTCTGAGTCGCACGTATTTCTTTTGATCATCCTACACCTAAAAGTAAAATGCGTACTTAAAAAATCGCTCTTTACTGGAAAAGAAATTTTATCTTCTTCCATTCCACAATATTTTTTACAGGCGGTTCCCTACTATTTAGTTCGTTATTAGCCTTCTCCTCCTTATTACCCTTAAAAAATCTTTTACTATAGCCGGTTGAGTTTCCAACAGCTCTACTAGCAACTGCAACTCAAATTTACTCGCTGATTTTGCCGTAAAGAAAACATTAAAAGATTATTTGTGAAAAGAAACCATTAATACGATTATTTTTGTTATATTCATTAAATACTTACATTTCTTAAAAAAAAAAAAAAACTCCCACAAAACTTCTATGTGAAAAAACTCTGCCGGAACTTTGAAATAATCCGATTTTTTTTGCATTAGTGATGCCAACTTTTTCCACTAGGAATTTTTCCTTTTTTTGGAGTTTGTTTAGATTAAGAGAAACGGGAAAAGAGAAAGAATCCGCAAAAAAAAATTGTTTATAATAGGAGAATAATTTTCAATTAGAATAGGGCTGAAAGTGTTCGCAAGAATTTAAAATTGCTACTTCGCTTAAGACGATTCATGCGAATATACCGTTGCATATATTTAAATTAAAGTTCGGGTCATGTTTGCGATCAGCTGATATCGGCCTTTACTAGAGATGCGCACAAGCAATTAACAAAAATTAGCTTTCGATTAAACAGCTTTTATTTATAAACTCAATTATTCATTGAAATAAACAAAAATTATTAATTATTTTGCTAATGTTTAGCAAAGACCTTATTTGTAAATGTGTTAAATTTGAGTATTAAATGAATCATTTGTCTAAAAAAAGTTTACAATTTCAAATCTATATCGATCCATTACCGTGTCGTATCACCTTTATGTATGAAGCTAAACATTCGAACTTTTGCAGCTACAAATATGAGTAAGTTAATTGGTATTTATTTTATTTATTTACATTACCAATATTTTCCACATTTTTTAGATATTCATCGAGCAAATGCAACCATCAAGGATCAAATCGAAAGCTATCTTGGGTTTATAGAAAGTCATACCGAGATGACCAGAAGTCTTCAGGATGGAGTAACTTAATCGATGTGCTCAACGAAATAGAACACTGAATGGTATATTAGATTGAAAAATTTACTTAAACATTCTAATAGCATAGAAAAACGTTTGTAGCTTTTAAATCTTTATGATGAGGCTGATGGCATTCTATTGGGGTCTCACTCATTAAAGTTAGGTTAAATGACAAGCGGCTTGGTGAACTTACTTATTGAATGCTATAAAGGTAATTGTTGAAATTATTCTATACAATATTTCTTTTACTTGGATAGTAGTCTTTTATTTTCCTTTTTTATTTCAGGTTGCGTCAAGACCACACATCTTGACTGGTGCAGATTTGTTCAAATTCTGAATTTTGCAATGAGCATCACCGCAGATAAATGGGGCCTGAAATTTCTTGAATATAATGAGTGTATTGTGGGATTTAACAGTTGTGAATAAATACCAATGCGCCCCAATTAGAGTTAAACGTTATGCTGAAAACACTTGATGTTGTTTATATAGAATGTAGATTTCTTTTTATGAATTATTATGAAGTTCCTCTTCCATTATTTTATTATTTTCTATAGTAAAGAAAACAAACTTGGCCTTTAATTTACTTAATAATTATAACAAAAATAATTATATAGCCTGGCCGCAAAAACAATTGCAAAAGTGGTTATTTCGATTTTTATGACCAGCAAATATTATAATCGTAAAATTATCGTTAAAATTCAACGTTAACAGCTAAATTCAGAAAGCAGTATCTAATATAAAATTAATACTTTAGATAAAAAAGTTAATTCCTTTAGAGAGTAAGTAAATTGATATTGTTTTAATATAAAGTTTTGTTACTGTAAATGGTCCTACATAAGGGGGTTGAAGATTAGACTTATGAAAAGTAATAACTTTAACAAATACATATTCACAAGTACTTAAATTTTTAGGAATGAAACGATTTTCTTTATTATGATGTATTACTTTCGATCGAACAAGTGAGAAAAGTTTTCTTAAATTCGAAATAATCTTATTTGTATTTTCGATTTCGTTATTACAATTATAGTTGAAAACAATAAGTTCACCCGGAAGCGTCAGGGTTTGAAAATAAACTAATTCAGCTGAAGAACACTTTAGATCTTCCTTAATCATTCCATTTGATTGTGGATGATATGGAGAAGTGGAGAAGTGTGTATTTTGTGAGAACCAAATAATTTTGTTAATTCATTAATAATAATTGTGCTCCTTGATCTCCCGTTATATTGAATGGAATACCGAAACGAGGAACATAATTTTGAATAAATGTAGTTGCAACAGAAACCGCTGAAATGTCCTTAAGTGGATATGCTTCCGGTCATCGATTCTGTCAATGATTGTTAATATGTATTGATTCGCTTTTGAAACTAGAAGAGGTCCTAATAGATCCATATGAATATATTCAAATCGCCCGGAAGTTTTATTAATCTTTAGGATTGGAGTTTTTGTGTTCTTGGTAACTTTAGTTTTATGACAATTAATGCAAGATGATGATGTCGAACTAATAACTTTTTTACGCATAAAAGGCCAAAAATATTTTTTTTTTGATCACTTGGATGTGATAAAGAACAAATTTTTTTAAAAATATTTTCTCATTTAATTAGGAACATATGGTCTAAAAGGAGTTTTTGTAACATCACATAAAATATTGAGATTTTGAATAGGTATATTAATTTCTTTCAAATTACTATTAGCATTTGGATCTGAAATAATATTTAAAATATTTCGTTATTTTGTTGTTCTTCAAAAAAGATATTGAAATTTTAGTCTTTTGTTGAAATTGAATTAATTTCTGGAATAAGAGAAAGTGTATCTGCAATTTTGTTATCTTTACAACAAATGTATCTAATATCAATAGTACATTGTGAAATATATTCTTAATGTCTTATTTGATGAGGAGATCTATCTGCTTTAGAATTTAGAACATGTGTAAGTGGTTTATGATCAGTGTTATTTGTAAAAACTCTAACCTCGCGAAAATGTTTAATTGAATTATATATTGCCAAAAGTTCGTGTTTCGTGAAAAATATGCTAATGGTTCTAATGTGTTATTACTCTTTTGTTGTAAAACAGCTCCAAAAGTAACATTTGAAGCATCTACTGCAATTGATAATGGACCGTTTTGGTCAAAATGTGTTAATTTTTTTTTGTGCGAAAAGGCTTTTAACATTTTCAAACTCTTTTAGTTTACTTTTAATATTAAATGTTAACTTTTCATGCAGAATACTTAATTCTGCTGCTAACATTTTAATATATCTATGATAATAATTTACCATACCTAAAAATTTTTTGTAATTTATTAATCGACAGAGGTTTTTCAAAATCTAAAATTGTTTCAATACGTTCTAAAGAAGGTCTGATAAGAAGGTAATGGTTGCAGTGATCTTAGATCTTGCTCAGGCTTTGAAACCCACAATTATTTTTGGACGACTTCAACGCACATCATGAGCTTCGGCATTCTAGTTTGCTGAACAGATAGACAATTTAACATTTTGCACCATTAACAATTACGCTCTTTGGAGCTCAAGAGCATAAAGTGCCGACCTACATATGCTACGAGGTGTGACAAATAATGAACTGATTCCATAAAAACCTTATATTTCACCGCTGAGGGCGGTGTGCCACGGCGCATTGCTGATGAGGATCCAGTTACGAGTGATGGCTGGACGCACACTGATGACTCGTTTTCACAATCTTTCGATATTTGGAGATAGTAGACTTTATTTTCGGTGGAAATAATTCTTTGTGGACGCACCCCGACTAATAGCGTACGTTTGCGAATCTGTTTCGCCCTATTTGGCGCGAAATTTTATTGCGAAGCTATGCTCTTGATTTCGTTTTTCCATTTTCGTGACGAGTACCATGAGCACATGTTTACTCAACACGACACAGCAGGCGAACTAAACAAACTAGAGCAATGGCAAATATATCAATGGAAAAGGGAATTTCACATAAAGAAACTGTAACTGACTCGCGGTCGGGGTAAACTGCCAAACACCGTCTGGCAAGCGGTTCAGGTGGACGATAGCCTACAAATCTATCTCACATGATGGATTAATTATCTGATTCTTTATCATCTGAGAGCAGGAGGAACAGTTTCTTCCAACACTTCAGATGTGGTCTCTGACCACATGGAAAACATCTAAGCCGGTAACATCAAAACCTGAAATTATTGCGAGTCACACTCGAGAAGAAAGCAGTCACCTTCACTCCGTAAATGATTGCGATTGTCACATAAGGGCAGAGCCGTAATAAATTCTTCAATTCCTAAGAAAAAGACAAAGAAAATTTGTCACAACATAGGAGGGAATAAGTCTGCCGATCATAAGCTTGCTGCACAGATTTGGACACATTTTGATCACATATACACCATTTGACCAGTGAAATATCCATGCTTCCTCGTAAAAAACATAATAAGCTGTATGAGCACTATCTTCTGTAATTATAGGTCTTCTGCGCTATTCAAGGAGCAGGGTGTCAACATATTTAATAAATCTCTTTACGTGAATGTGGTTGTTTGAATCACCACTTATAATAGGCAGAGAGAAAGAGCTGCCTAGTAAGATCCGCATAAAACAGATGTAGTTAATATCTCCAAAAAAAAAAAAAAAAAAAAAAAAAAAAAAAAAAAAAAAAAAAAAAAGTTTACCGAAAAACCTGAGAACGCACCCCACAAATTGCCACACGGTTACATATCGCTCATACTTACTACAGATGTACATACTATATGTAAATTATATCAGATGTAGAAAATCCAAATTTTCTTGTAAATGAGATCCCAAATAATTTTGATATCATTTAAAATATGTTATAGGAATTTTTTCTTTATTACTTTTTGCTAACACAAAGCAATCTGTAAAACTACCGCACCCATTACTTAAATTTTGACCACTGCGCTAGGCTTGCAATGGTCTTAAAATTAAGTATATTTTTTATGTTAACAAATCAAATGTGTCAAGAAAACTGGTTTCTACATTTGTTTAATGTAAAAATAATCCGCAATTAAAACTAATTATAACAAAAACATATGTGTGGAATGCAAATTCAAATCAGTTCAAAATCAGATCAAATGTTTTTATATATTGTGTTCGACCTTATTACGACCAAAAAATATCAGATTTTCTTACAGAACATAGGTATGTAGGTGCATACATACGTATATATAATTTAAATTCTTTTGCTATTGTGTGTGTGCGCCTTTAATATTTTTAAAGCTTTCTTATTAAAAGCCAACTAATGCATGAATTGCTTAGTTAACTCATACATTACCCTAACTACATTAGTTAGAAATCCGTAAAGCATATTGAATAGAGTAATTTTATCTTTGTCTATGAATTGGTGAAAAAATTTCTTTGTACATACATCAATACATATTTGTGGATTTTTGAGAGTTCGCCCAATAATTCTTGGAACTAAACTTGTGTAAAGAATGCACAAGGGAATGCTATTTATGTATAACAATTTGAACTCGAAAAATTAAAATTAATTTTCCTGTTTTTAACTTTATTGTGTTGAAACATACCGATCTCCATATTCGTTTCGATGGTGGCGATTTTATCAACCACCCTTCGTAATGAACTTCCTTATTCATATTTTTCATAAAACCCTAGAAATGTTTTTCAAAATCAAACAAAAAGATAAAATAAAAACTTTCAATAAGAATATTAATAGCACCAATTTGTTAACTCTGAATAATAACAAATAAGTATTGAACAAAAATTAGGGATGCCAAAACTTCGATAAGTACGTAGTCGAAAGTTATACGGCTTTTCCACGGCGTCGTTAATTACATTGTTCGCCCTCTAAATTACTAATGCGAATTACGCCATGCAATTTTAAAGCTCTCTGCTCGATATGATCGAGACTGCCTTTTACGAGCATCTCGAACACACTTATGAGCGTCCAGCCTCGATGTGACAATTGTACTTTACGACTTTAACGCCAGGGTGGACAAAGAAGGTATCTACGGCACAACTGTAGAAAAATTCAGCCTACATGACGAAACGTCACCAAATGGGTTGAGGCTAGTCGACTTCGCCGGGGCCCGAAATATGGTCGTCTGTAGTACTAGATTACAGAACAAGAAAATACATTGGCTGCCCCCTGATCGAAATCACAAAACCGATCATCATGCTGTAAGCAGCGGAAGACATGTCTCCAGTGTTCTTGGTGTGCGTAAACTCCGAGAACCCAACATTGACTCGGACCACTATCTTGTTGCAGCGAAGATACGCACCTACCTCTGTGTATTAAAGAACGTCCGTCAACAAACACAAGGAAGGCTCAGGGTCATAAAGCTGGAATAACAACAAACTGCCCAACGATTTTACCTGTGGAACGGCATCTCAAAATCCATACGTATCGCCGCTACGGAAACACTTGGTATTCGGTAGTGTCAGAAAAAGAATTTGTATAATGAGGAATGTCGAACTTTACGGAAAATATGCCTGGGCAACAAAAAAAGCTGAATGAAAACGTTATCTTAACAATTAAAGGGCTATTTTTTAGTCTCGAAAACTTCTTAAAATACGGCTTAATGCATTTTTTTCTTCATCTTCAATGAATTCCAGGCCTAAAATATGCCTACCCATTTTGGTTATTTATTTTTTCCCAAACTTACTACACAAAATCCAACAGCAGATATTTTTGTTACCTCCTATTTTGCTGGTAACAAAATTTAAAGGGTAATAGTGAGCTCAGAATAGGAAATTAACTTACTGAATGGTAAATTTTAATACTTAACATGTACCGGTAGTTTTCCGACTTCAGTGTTGGGTAATAACAAGGTGATGGAAAGCTTCCAGTGACTCTCAAATATTTAAAGCTTGTTTCTTTAACATTGCCGCCAGCCTTGCCATATCATAGGATTGCAACAAAACGGAATAAAACGTAAAATAGTTCAATGCATATAAAACATACAATACTTAAAACTAGAAATTCATGTGTGCTTACAAATAGATAACTGTTGAGGATATTTTTCCTTAATTCAATTCAATTAAAAAAGTTATTATAAAATTGTAAAACTTAGTCAATATATTTGTAAACATTTTTTTTTCGTTTTTCTAAAGTAACCCATTAGGGGGTTACCGTATTCACGTATCAAGGTTCCCATTAGAGGGATGTTATACCTTAAAGAGTACATGGGCCTAAAAGGACTCAGCCAAATATTGAATTTTGGGCTGTAGGAAACCCAGGAAACACCAATGTTTCCGTTTTTTATTATGCGATGCCAAACATCACCACCAAGAACCAGTGCAACCTCTGCTGATTGATGAAAGTTCGGATCCGCTAACTTTACTACTTTACTTACTTTGTAAACTTCTCCGCTACAGATATATTTAGATGGCGCGTTGTTCACAGTCAATGAAAACCTTGCGCGTGCATCACTGGATGATCCAATTACGATCTCACACATCTATAAATTTGCCACTGGTAGAATCCACATACGTAATTTTTTAATCACAGATTTGCAAACTTTGCTAGTCTGCGAAGAAGGGTCGAGAAGTACTCGTGTGAGAAATCTCATAATTGGCGTCTAGAAAGCGCCTACAAAAACGAAGAGGGTGTGAATGAAATGAATGAATGAAGCTCTACATTTTGCTGATTTTTGGGTTTGGCTCTTGGTTGGTAAGGAACGTTTTGGGGAAGATATTGGCGAAACCAATGGTGTTGGAAGGTCGAGAAGATGTGAATGTCGAAGAGCGTGCCGGACACCCGAGCACTTCAACAACAGACGAAAAAATTAATTGCATTTGCGTAGTTCATCATTAGTTCTTGCCACATGGTAGAACGGTCAATAAGTAATATTACCTGCAAGCTATTCGCAATTTGCGCGAAGCATTCCGCCAGAAACGTCCGAATTTGTGGAAGAACAAAAATTGGCTTTTGCACCACGATAACGCCCCTGCTCACACATCGTTGCTTGTGTGCGACTTTTTGGCCAAAAACAACACTCTAATGATGCCGCAGCCACCGTATTCCCCAGATCTGGCCGCCTGTGACTTTTTCTTGTTCCCTAAATTGAAGAGGCCCATAAAAGGACGACGTTACGCTACGATTTACGAGATAAAGACGACATCGAAGGAGGAGCTGAACAAGATAAAAAATAAATGATTTTTTGAAGTGCTTGGAAGATTGGAAAAACAGTTGGCACAAGTGTATAATATCTCATGGGGATTACTTTAAGGGGGCAAAATAGATATTCAAGAATAAATAAATAATTATTGAAAAGCACAAAATTCGCGTTATTTTTTGAACACACCTCGTACTTCTATTACTCTGCCCAAGCGCGACTTATTTAAGGGAAGATTTTCGTGTCGAACTACTACCATGTCGGCGTTATTGATATCGCGTTGAGGAAACTTCCATTTATAATACTTGAGAAGTTCTTTCCATCGAAGTGAGTGTTGTTGGCTAAGAGCCACCTATTTATTAAAGAAAGTGGAGTCGTTTCTATTTGAGGTCCCGCAGGTACATGAATGGAACCACCGACTAGAAAATGACAAAGTGTTAAAGCAGCACAGTCTGTAGAATCCTCTGAACACGGTGAAATAGGCCTGGAATTAAGGCAGGCTTCTATTCGACAAAGCAAAGTTTGGAATTCCCCAAATGTAAATCTATATGAATTGGCTACTCGTCGAAAGTGAAATTTGAAGTTTTTGACTCCAGCTTTCCATAATCCGCCCATATGTGAAGCAGTTGGATTTACATTTGTATTGCTAACAGCTTCTTGAAATTTGGAGCCTGGAAAGGGCACTATTTGAAAGATCTATGAATACCGCATATTTTGCAACTATTAATGACATGCTTTATTATATTCTTCACTTTTGGAATCTAATACTGCGAACGTATCAAACGTAGGACTAATTGATTAGTTGCATGAAGAGTTATACAATGAACAAATGAAACCAATAGAAAATCAACTATTGTATGGTAAAAGAATCGGGTGTTTCTCGTCGAGTTCAATAGTCGACCATTGACTCGCATAACACCCTGACTATCCAGAAAATGGTTTAAAGTTAAAAGTTTGATTTTTGAATGAATTTAATCCACCGACTAAATTGTTGTGTTCTTCAGGGAAATTCTTTGATTGAGCTAAACGGACGAGTCGAACGCGGATTTCGGAAATTTCTTCATCTGAAATAACTAGTGTAGTATACGAATGCCATGAACGTGTGTTTATATTGGCCGAATTGTAAGACCGAAAAACGTATGCCAAAACTCGCAATGCTCGAGATAGCAAAAAAACCATCCAAGAGATCCTCGGTATACGTGACTTGAGAGGCATGCGCTCGTACTTTCCTTGCCTCTTACATAGCCACTGGGGAAATTGAGCCAAGGAACTGTTCAACATATTATTGGACGTTGTTTTCGTAAAAGATGTGAGTTAAATAAAACTAAAAACTTTTTAAGCAAAGTGATTCCCGATGGATTGTACGGACAATACGCGAAATCCCCCACTTAAGTGCTCCAGGTTTAGGTAAAGAAGTTCTGGAATATTGGAAGCATCGGAGCATAGATGCTTCGCTGTACAAGTGACATCAAGAGTTTTGCGGTGATAGCGGTCGTATGCGGACTGAAGGAGTGCAGACTGTCCAGTGTGATTCTAAGTATCTTTGGGTTATTTATGGTCGGAATTTCACATCTAAATCGAGGGNCGGCGTTATTGATATCGCGTTGAGGAAACTTCCATTTATAATACTTGAGAAGTTCTTTCCATCGAAGTGAGTGTTGTTGGCTAAGAGCCACCTATTTATTAAAGAAAGTGGAGTCGTTTCTATTTGAGGTCCCGCAGGTACATGAATGGAACCACCGACTAGAAAATGACAAAGTGTTAAAGCAGCACAGTCTGTAGAATCCTCTGAACACGGTGAAATAGGCCTGGAATTAAGGCAGGCTTCTATTCGACAAAGCAAAGTTTGGAATTCCCCAAATGTAAATCTATATGAATTGGCTACTCGTCGAAAGTGAAATTTGAAGTTTTTGACTCCAGCTTTCCATAATCCGCCCATATGTGAAGCAGTTGGATTTACATTTGTATTGCTAACAGCTTCTTGAAATTTGGAGCCTGGAAAGGGCACTATTTGAAAGATCTATGAATACCGCATATTTTGCAACTATTAATGACATGCTTTATTATATTCTTCACTTTTGGAATCTAATACTGCGAACGTATCAAACGTAGGACTAATTGATTAGTTGCATGAAGAGTTATACAATGAACAAATGAAACCAATAGAAAATCAACTATTGTATGGTAAAAGAATCGGGTGTTTCTCGTCGAGTTCAATAGTCGACCATTGACTCGCATAACACCCTGACTATCCAGAAAATGGTTTAAAGTTAAAAGTTTGATTTTTGAATGAATTTAATCCACCGACTAAATTGTTGTGTTCTTCAGGGAAATTCTTTGATTGAGCTAAACGGACGAGTCGAACGCGGATTTCGGAAATTTCTTCATCTGAAATAACTAGTGTAGTATACGAATGCCATGAACGTGTGTTTATATTGGCCGAATTGTAAGACCGAAAAACGTATGCCAAAACTCGCAATGCTCGAGATAGCAAAAAAACCATCCAAGAGATCCTCGGTATACGTGACTTGAGAGGCATGCGCTCGTACTTTCCTTGCCTCTTACATAGCCACTGGGGAAATTGAGCCAAGGAACTGTTCAACATATTATTGGACGTTGTTTTCGTAAAAGATGTGAGTTAAATAAAACTAAAAACTTTTTAAGCAAAGTGATTCCCGATGGATTGTACGGACAATACGCGAAATCCCCCACTTAAGTGCTCCAGGTTTAGGTAAAGAAGTTCTGGAATATTGGAAGCATCGGAGCATAGATGCTTCGCTGTACAAGTGACATCAAGAGTTTTGCGGTGATAGCGGTCGTATGCGGACTGAAGGAGTGCAGACTGTCCAGTGTGATTCTAAGTATCTTTGGGTTATTTATGGTCGGAATTTCACATCTAAATCGAGGGTAGGCGAGGACTTAGAGGGTTAAATTTGAAGCTGTCTTGCAGTGAGGAAGTGGAAACGTCGGTAAGATAGCAGTTCACTCTCGAACTAAGGTCATTAATATCCTGACCAGATGCTAATATCTTGCATACGAGGTGAAGGAAACTCCTTTTTGGTGGAGAAGGGAGTTTGTAACTATAGAAATTAAACCGGAGTGGGGAGAGGACACCACCCAGCGGAGCCCCTTGTTTAATTTTCTTAAGTTTCGATATTTCACCTCGGGATACTACCGATGATTGTTGACCACTCAGGTAGCCTATGACGGTAATGATTTCTCGATGTTAGCAGCACTGAATGGTTGACGGTGTCAAAAGCTTTTGACAGGAAAATTCGCGCGTGTTTATGACGTTTAGTCTGTACACTTAATTGAAACTATGCTGATGTGCTGTTCCCTTGCGCAGGCGGCGGGTTACCCATCGCGTCATTTTGACAGCAGAAAGACGCAATGTGCAGTTAGCTAATATAGCTCGCAAGTCTATTCTGGTCCGACGAGGGGCGGTCAGGTAATGAAATTTCCACTCCTTTTCGATTTGACTATAGCCCAGAGCTTGGTTGTCCCAGAGGCGAGATTGCAGGATCTTAAGTGTTTCTTTGACTGTTAACTACTTTGCGAATCTCCGCGTTTAAATTCCTTATTAGAGGATTTCCCGGATCGGAGTGACGAAGTGTGTCGTACCTTGTAACTCGACCTCCGGGCATGAATAGGGCGGTAGCAGCCACAAAAATTTTGCGGAGTAAACTTTCACCAGATATGACGCCTGATGGAGTGGGGAGACCACCATAGGCCTCCTCTGTAAATTCCGTGAAGCGATATGTCAATCGAGATTTGTATGGCTTGGTGGTCCAATGCTGGTGTCAGTATAGGTCGCCAGGTTATATTGTTTATCAGACCAGCACTCAGCAGTTGCCATATCTGCCGAGCTTTAGCAATTACCCATAACTCTGGTAGGGATGTTGTCGTTCGTTGTGGGGAATGTCGAGTCGCCTATCTGTTCCACCAGCTCCATTCCTCCACGGTCATTTGACAGGCTAGAATACCAAAGATCGTGATGTGTGTTAAAGTCGCCCAAAGCCAAACGGTTTTTGCTTCTGAGTAGCGCACCTATATTACGGCTATATCCATAAGGACAACTTTTAACAGGAGGAATGTATATATATTAAATATCTCGGAGTCTGCATCGCCTGACCAGATAGCTATGCCCTGACATTCTAGGGTACTATCCCTGAGGTTGATGTCGCCGTCAATAAAACGATACTGCACGGTGTTGTGCAAGATGAACGCTAAGCCTCCAATATCGTCTTGCTCGCTATCCTTGCGGATTATATGGTATCCGGCCAGGCTCAGAAGATTTGATCGGGCGATCAACTTCGTTTTCTGAATCGCAGCAATTGACATGTGCTCGCGGCTAATATAGGACACTATCTCGTCGATCTTTCCATGGAATCCGTTGCAGTTAAATTGTAACAGGCGTGTCTGTCTCGGGTGGACGTTCGCGATTCGGGGGTGAGGGAGTGATTGGGTGCCGCACATTGGTGTTGGTTGGCGGCGTTGTTTTAGATACCTGCAGGGGCATACTCAAACAGGTGGCAACGTACATATTACTCCACTCACGGGTGGTGCGCAGACCAAAGCACGTGCAAAAATGCACCAGCCAGAGCATTTGACTGAGGCCGTGCTCTGACGTACTATAGTAGTCTGACACACAGAAGAAACTGTGCGGGGAACTAGGAGCTGGTTAGCCCTCTCAGCACCTCTAGAGGTGCTGAAGGCACTGCCGTGGGAGTCATGCTGCGGGGAGCTGCGTGAGACCGTAGAGGTCTGTTGGTTACCCTAAGTGGGTAGAGGTGCTTACGGGCACGGTTGTGCAAGTTGGGGGCGCTCGGGCCACGTAACTTGTGGACCACTCCCCGAGTGTCTTACGCTCTGTACAGGCTTTAACACGGCCCTATCCATTGCACTTGTCATCTAACCTAGAAGGAGGAATGGTAGTCTTCTATGACACACGAAGCGGAAATAATCTGTAGAAATAAGGTTGGTTTCGGCGCCAGTCCTGTTGAAAAGGATTTGAAGCGTACCCGGTGCAAGGTGACGCTCGGCCGAAAATCGATTCAGCGGTTACAAAAAGCAAATTACAAATGTACAAAGTTTCTCCTTTTTTTTTGCCAACCACAATTCCTGAATAAAAGATAAGCTCACGAAAAAACTCAAATATCGCTAATAACAATGACCAATACTGTTTGCTACAAAATTTACTTAATTTTATCAAAATGTTAATATTTTCCATTATGTTTCAAAGAATGCAAGTGCACGTTTATTTACTTTATTAAATGAAATGAAGTATAAATGTCCGTTAGAATCAGAAAAAAACAGTGCTGTCACACCTTGAAGAATTAGTGTATTACAATGAAATGAATAAATAACGTATTCACGATGTATTTTGAGTGCAACACCTTTGTAAGTTAGCGGTCTTCGGCCGCATTTTAAAAAATAACCCTGGGCCGGACCAACACCGGCTTCTCCCCACAGTTTTCTTAAGTGAGACACATTGGTAAGTTACACATTTTACTTAGTAAAGTAAGCACACGTATTAGTATAAGCGATATTTAAATGTTGCGTGAGCTTATATTAGCTTTTATTCGGGAATTTCGGTTGGTTTTAAGTCTTGATGTTTTTCCAATAAGTGAAGGGATATACAGATTATACTACTGATGGTTTTATCATGAGGAGCTTTATTTCATGCTAGAAACACACTCGTACGGGTTGACATTCCCTACCGAGGTGCGACCACAATTAGAAATTTTATATTAACTTTCTATAAAATTTTTGGATGTTAGAACGACACCGGGATTCAAACCAGATCCTTCCGAATAGCAGTACGCATTGCTTACTACTCAGCTACAGCGGCCGTCAATGGCCGAAGAAAAGTTTACCTAGTTTATGAATAAAACTAAGAGATTTTCAAGCTATTTCTAAGCCATTTATTAAACATAATACCTCCACTAACTGTGAGCATTGGTGGAAGTGCTTCCAACAATTCTTGCCATCATTTTATCTTCCTTAGCTTTTTTCTTGGCTTCTTTCTGTCTCTTTTTCTCTTCTCGTTCTTTTTGTTCCAACATTTCTTTGAATCTTTCGTCACGTGGGTCAACTTTAAAACCAAAATGTCTTCGAACTTCTTCTATCATTCTTTGTTTATTTTGCTTTGCGGCCAATGCATCAGCCTCTTTCTTGGCTACTTTGTTTCTCATTTCGAGTTTCCATTGCTCTAATTTCTCTAACTTCGCTGCAATTGCTGATTCTCTTCTTTCAACAGCTTCTTGTTGAGCAATAGTTTTGGCTTTCTGCATTGAAAGCAATTGTTGTAAAGAATATTGCTCACTAGCATTATGGATATCGTCAGATCGTTCCTTCACCTCGAAACATATCCTGGGGTCAATACCAGATGCTAAGCCATATCGACCAAAGATTTTCCTTTGATATTTCTCAGTATTGTGTATCCATGAATGTGGCTCACTATACGGCACTTGTTTCAGGAGCACGTTTCTATTTTGATTTAAAAGCCTAGACTTATTCTGATTAGGCACACGTGAAATGTCTTGAGATTCACTCTCATTAAACTCCGTTGTAAAAAAACGGGCCTGTGCTTTGTTCCAACGATTTAAACCGTAAAGGCCAGTACATAATACTTTTCTTTGGTATATAAACACAAATGACCCCATATTCCAAGCTTTTATGCAACTTTTTGTTATTCAACTAGAATGACACAAAAAAATCGATAACATAGATCGATACTGCGGTATATTAGACTACCTGATATGAGCATACATCTCGTATCGGGCTTTTCACGTCATTAGAAATTACGTTGTGTGTTCCTTCAATAACAAACGCGAATTATCCCATTTCGACGGTGCGCAGTTATCTTTTTGGCAGGTTTAATTAAATTGCAGACAAAAAGAAAGAATTTAGTAACGGCTCAAAAATATTTGAATTGATTTGTTGATGTTAATATTATTTATTACTATAAGTTTACTTTCATGGTCCCTGTGTAAACTCGGACATTAATATAATTCTTGTAACAGTTAATAAATTATTAATAGGCCTCATGCTGAATATCGTCTAGGTCGTCACTTTCATCTCTTCGTCTTTGCTTAGGTATTCTGTACAAGACACAAGTGCTTGTAATGTTGTGAATTGAGAAAACGCGTAACTTTGGCGCACGAGAAATCATTTGTGAAATTGTGTTTTTTTTTTAAATTTATTGTTATATTTTTGATTAGGCAAATTTGATGGGATATGAAGAGCTTTCAAAATCCATCTGGTACTATATTTAGTGCGAATGATGATAACAATGAGCCACAGCGCGACTTTAGCAACAACTATACGCCACCAAATTCAGACAGAGTTCCTGAAGTGTCAAAAAAGGAATCTTCTCGAGTAGATGATGTGTTAATTGCCGGCTCTTCGCGTAGCGTGAATTGGACAACGTTCGTCACAGTCTACCATGAACATATAAATTTTTTTACTCTTCATCGCTTGAACTTAAAACGAACTCGTATTCCTTTTTGGTAATTATACAGGAGAGCGGCTTTTGCCAAAACTGTCCAAAAATAATGGGGGGTTTTTTTATTTAAATACGGATTTTTTTTTATATAAGCAAACTTCTCAGCTTAAATGTATATACGAATCATCAAAAATATAACAATAAATTTAAAAAAAACACAATTTCACAAATGAATTTCTCGTGCGCCAAAGTTACGCGTTTTCTCAATTCACATCAGATTCTTCAAGATGAGTCAATACCGTCTGCTTGTAAGCCCCTCCTTCGGTTGCTCTCGACTCTTTCTTGTTGTTCATCATTTTTTCTTCACTTTGAATTTAGAAAAAAACATGTAGCTGAAATGATGAAACAAACATTTGAATTTTGTTCATGTTTTGAATATACCTTATGTTATCTTTCCATCATCCCGCACATGTGGTCCCACCGTATTAATTTTTATGGCAATAACTGCCCACTCCTGTTTCAAAATGTATTGGATAACGCGTTTTTGAAGACCCCTAAAGACCGTAAGTAAAATGACTTACGAAAAGAGACGATATAAAACGGCGTTGACAACATGTGGAAAATACCGCAACTTTGTCGTCTGACGATGGCTTTGAACGGCATACCAATGCTACTGTCTCGTCATTTCCAATGACCATGACGATATTCAGCATATGTATTTATAACTTGTTTTAGCTGAAGAAAACTGCTTTTTACACAGGAAGGCTTACCGACAGCGTACATATAAACTTACCCCCCACACTCTTGGTCGAATTACGTGGTTTTTATACGCTCCCTACTACAGTTTTTCTAAGACATCGTGAATTTAACTGTTCGTCTCTTACCCAAACTCATGCCGAATTACTTAACTCGCCAGTTCATTCTCCGAAATTCAATTATTATTTTGATCGGAAATTTATGGAAATTAGTTGACAAATCAAAACAAAAAAGCTGAAAATCTTTTAAAATGCACTAAAAATCCGCTTTTCCGCTTCCATTTCCATTTCCGCTTTTAAACCAACGAAGTAAAGAACGAATTTTATAACAGTACTCTTTATCATTTTCATTTTCGAATAATAAACTTCACCAAATAGTTTTATATTTTAATTTTTATTTCATTACATAGTTCGTTCAAAGAAGACATCTAATTAAGATTAATAATAAAACAAATGTGTGTTAAACATAATACATATGTATCTTGATCTCTGCGCTATCCTAATTTATTTAGCATTATCCTGGTTAGTCGCTCCGGAGATAAATAAAAGCAAAACAACGGGAACAATATACATCCACTGAAAAAAAAATGAAATAAATAATTTGTTAAATAATTTACTATTTAGGGTCTTGACGAGATAGCGAGGTTTCAGACATATCATACAGTTCCCATTCCTTTGAAGGGACAGTCAGCGCACTATGTTTCGTGTCACGCTATTATATATTATTTTTAATATTTACGGCCCTACTTACAAGACGTGAATTAAAGGATAACGTTAAGTAATATTGCTGGAGTTTGACTTCACCATCGCTAACATAGCATAACAGTAGGAGTAAATAGCGCTTAATAACTCCTACTATATCGGCGGACGACGGACCACTTTCGCGATTGTATCCGCATTAACATTTCGTTCCTTTTCGGCTTTTTTAGCACTAATTTATGAAAATAAGTGAAATTCCAGCTCTCTCAGTGGAGTGGAGCTATCGCTCTTTCGGCGATCTAACCCTGATTAGGTCATTTAGTAATAATAGGTTATAAGCAGTAGGATTGCTCTAAATGTGTCTTATCAAGGGTTGAGTCGAATCCAACCCTGGTTTGAATGATTATTTACGCTGCGTGTGGCATAGACGACTCAACCACTCTCCACTCCAATTCAGTTAGATGCAAGCAGTGCAATGGCTGGAGTCATCTTAAGACTCGCTCAGACCTTAAAATACATAAGGAGTAACCACAGTTCGCTTCACACCCACCTACATCCAGTTACACCTCCCATGCGGAGACTACCCAGCAACTCTCGCTGTCCCATACACTCAGCCCCATGTGCCAGGGAGCGTCACATCTGTCATGCTCTCACCACTCAACGGCATCATATCCAACAGGTTACTCAGCAGCAACACAAGGACTTATGCATCACTCCTTCATACCTCGTGTAATAAATTGACTGCTACAATTCAACTACATCTTACTCCAGGGGAAGGTCAATGAAATACTTGACTTGATGGGAGTAGAGCACTTGCCAATAGCTGCGAATCGAGAAACAAAGCTGAGCGGCGGGTCAGATCAACTGAGGTGGGCCGGGTACATCATCCAAAAGGATTGCGAGCGAGACCGTAGCGTTTATCTTACACAGCACTGGACAGTATTGACTGCAAGTTTACTACCCCAGAATGGCAGGTATACTAGCCTAGAATGGCAGGTATACTAGCCTAGAATGGCAGGTATACTACGCTAGAATGGCAGGTATACTACCCTAGAATGGCAGGTATACTACCCTAGCAGGCAGGGTGTAGCTAACCGACAGGCTATGCGACTTAGTTTCCGTAGACCACCGGACGTTGGTTAACCTTACCAAAGCTAATTGCCCCGCATTATTCATATTCCCTAAGCTAGTGCTGATGTTTTTGTTGTAGCCGAAAAAAAATCCTCCAGAGTAGTTTTTTGGGAATGTTGTCAGAGTGAGTCCACGGCTGGGTAACAATGAGGGTGTTCCGTTATAAAGATCCGACTGTCGCGGAAGCTCTTGGATTTTACTCGTCTTTCTTGAACCTCGTTTGCAGGGGCAAATAGTCGTATCCGCTGCCGCTCGCATCATCCGGTCCGGCCGAATGGGGGAAATCCGCCTTGAATTCTCTAATGAAGTGCCAGTTTTAGCTACTAAGCGCGATTGCTTAAGTCAAGCAGATACCGGAAAGTGGTCCTGTGGTGGACTGTGGTGAACCGGTGGAACTAAACGACGAGGAGCAATCATATAAGCCGTTACCTGTCCTTTCCCAGGAGGGAAGACAATTTTTCCCCTTAATCTTACAGTGCCTATCTAACATTGAGGATTTTCCATTGCCGCCGGGGTTGAAGAAGTACACATTATAGGTTATGGGCTAAATTTCTAAACACTGTAAGATTTCTGTTTAATTTAACGAAAGTAAACTGCTTTTTTCCTGCCCCTACCCACTTCTATCTTCAACAACTGGACAATGTCTAACGGCGTGAATTCCTAAAAAAAAATCCGACAACTAGTAATCCAATACTTTTAAGTAACCTTTGACCGCCTGCACTCCGCATACGACTGCAATTGCCACAAAAGTATATAGCTACAAGAAATTTTTCAAAGCGCCGGAACGCAGCCCCTAGGTAAACAAGGAAACGACAACGCTCACGACAGCCGGTTCTACGCACCGGAGTTCATCCGGATTTTATTCGGCGAAGGGATGTCACCCTTTCGACGATCTAAGGTCAACAGGTAACATTATTCTAAGGTCACCAATGGGCTGCTCCAAATTCTTCTCATCAAGACTTGCGTCGAAACCAATTCTGATACTTGCAAACTTACTTTGCTTGCGTAGACACCGCTTACGCGATTATAGCTGAGTTGACAACATTGTGCCAATCGTTTCTTCTTTTTGCTGTTTAGCGTCAATTGGAAATATTAAGTACAGTCAAGTCCTTCTCTACCTGGTCTTTCCAACGGAGTGGAGGTCTTCTCCTTCCTCTTCTTCTAACAGCTGCTTCTTGATTCACTGAACTAAATCAGTGTCGCCGTATAACTCGTTCAGCTAATCGTTGCATTTTCTGCGATATTCGCCGTTTTCAACGCGCAAAGGACCATATATCGCACGTAAAACCTTTCTCTCGAAAACTCCTGACGCCAACTCCTCAGATGTTGTCATCGTCCATGCTTTCGCACCATACAGCAGGACGGGAACGATGAGAGACTTGTAGAGTTTGGATTTTGTTCTTCGGGAGAGGACTTTAACTTTTCAATTGCCTATAGATTTAATTTTTCCTTCTTGTAAAAGGCACTGTTGCACCAGTTCCTTGTTAATTCGAGTGCCTTCTGTATGATATCACATAGTGCTCTCTCGAATTTGCCTACTGCTATTTTTACAATGCCATCGCCTTATCCTTGGCATTTTATGCCACTGTGTGTACGGAGCTCTAGCAGGCCATCTACTACCAGACTCCAAAGGAGTGGTGATAGTACTCCTCCTTGGAGCACCCTTTTGTGGTCTTCATTGAATTGTGTTGTCTGCAACTGCGACTGTCTCTGCTATTCTATTGTTAAGTATGAATTTGATCCAATTTCGTATATGTTCTTTTATTTTTTTTTCTTACGAAGTGCTTTGTCACTGCTCCATGAGAGGTTTGCGTTCTTGCGACCGATGGGGTTTATACCGAAACGACCCGGATTTTTATCCGCCCAAGGTCTGTATGTATAGATCAAATTGACGAGGTCACACAATATAGTCGCCCTGTTTGAAACTTCGAACTGAAATGCTTTGAGATGTCCTTCCAATCATAGCGCATAATGCATCTAAACTGTCAGTTCTTTGGCAAGCAAATACTGTTGACGATTAGAACGTCGTTTCAGCGATCATCAGCGATTGAAGATTTTGGTTCACGATGCACGGATGTTAATTCATTACTATTCACATGCTGAAGTTGTTCCTATCATAAACTCAATATGCACTGAACATCGGTGTCCACATCACATCTTTGGGTCTTACATGAGTATGCTTTCTCTGTAGGGGTTGAAATTCCTGACCTATAGGGGTCGCAATTAGAAAATTGTGGCCTTCCGCATAGACGTGATCAACATATAGTACTTATATAAAACGTATCAAACTTGTTTGTCTGATATTCGTCATGTGGATGTGTAAACACATTGCACCAGTATAAAGTTCAAATAATTTTATACATTCACTTTTTTTAGTACTTACATATTTGGCGAAAAAGCCTCGGTTATCACGAACCTCCCCCCTTTCTCTAGCTTCTCTTTCCCTTTCCAATTTTTGAATAAATGTTGTCGTGTCTGGATATGGTGCCATCTCAGTGTGTCTGATAAGTACATCAGTATTAAAATCTTCTAAGCCAGACATTGATATATCTTCGCAAGAGCTAAAAAAAAAAGAAGAAATTAACAAGGAATTTTATGCAGTACTGATTTTATTTAGTATTGAGAAATAAATAAATGCATATGTATGAGTACGATATAATTTAAAAACTATCATACTACATATTTAGGACGTAATGAGACAAAATACACTTATTCAATACAAATAATACGTAGAAATATGTAATGAGAATGGAAACATTACATTTTTGTAACGGCTAAACAGCAATTTGGGGGGGCAATATGAATTTATATTTCCTTTTTATAGAAAGCAACCAAAATTCTCAATATGATTTCGTCATCATGACAAATTTGTGTAAGGTACAATTATCCCGCCTTCATCGATCTTGTTGCTTGTTGGTGTTTATAATGTTTCCTATCTTAAATTTTTTTTTTTTTTGAACCAATTGCTTACTTATCATTTAATTTATTTTAAATTAAAATAAAATTCTCATGAAACCATCTACTAGCTTATAATGCTTTACAGGAAAAGTATGATCAACTTACCACTTGTCAGATCCAGCAGTTAGCACAGTAATGCCATTCACCGAACCACTGTTGTCTATAGAGACCCACAATATGTCGTTGAGCTGGGCTGACATTAAATTACATGCTTTAGTCGAGCTAAGGAAATCATGTTGCTTTCCATCGGCATAAACAACCTTTGCTTTTAATCTATACAATTGATTCTTTCTTGCTAGGGACTAATATTTTTAAAATTTAATCAATGATAAACATATTTACGACATACACCATACCAAAAGATTAGCCCTCTGACTCGCTGTGAGAGCTTCCTGATTGGTTTTCGCTAGACCAATTTCTAAGCTGGAAATAGTAACATTCCCACGATAAGTAAAGTCATCAGGATTTGCACCATCAATAGCATGGCTCAATTCGATGTTCACCCAGTTATCGTACTCTAAATAAGCCTGTAAATACATAAGTGTTCGTACAAAACTTAACAGAACCCGATATTGAAAGCTTTTACCAAAACATAATTTAAATGAAATAAGAATAAGCTAAAACTGCACAAATATTTCACAAAACTCATATTGGCTAACAACATTTTACACAAACTTCTACAAAACCTAGGGAAGATAATTTAGCATCGTTTTACTCCAAATATCGATATTTGGGTTCCCAGAAGCCGGGGAGAAAATATATGTGGTGGTATCACTAATGAACGTAAACGAGCGTTCCAAAATACTGTTACGATTTTGCTAAATCAANTAACGATTGAGAAGTTGATGGTTCATCTTCCTCTGCCTTCCGTTTTCGCTGTTCCTCCTGTCCCTTGGAACTGGTTTTGCATTCGCGTGCGTAGTGACCAGGCTTCGCACATTTAAAGCACTTTCCCCCTTGGGTTTTGAAACCAGAACGATTCATCCCTTCTAGCAAAGGAGTTCTTGTTTTATCGTTTCTAGAATGTACTAGTTATCGGCTTCTCTTTTTCATCTGACATTCGCCTCGCATTTTCGCAACAATACAATACGTAAAACATTTCTAACCACCATAAAGGCCAATGTTTGCTGTTTTAGTTGAGTACTAACGGCAAAAATATTACCAAATTAGTTTTCAGGAATATTGCAGGAGTGACAACTTTGGCCGAATAAAAATTGTTATTGACTCATAAATAAACGAGGATTTAGTTCTTAAATTCTAATTTCTTACATAATTATAGAACAAACCTTGAGACCTTAATTTAACAATTCAGTGACCCACCTCAAAGGATTTGGTAAATCTTCGAGTGTATTAGCGAAAATAGGTCAACAGGTAACATTGTCTAAGTTCGCCAATGGAGCAACACCTTGCAGCTGGGTTGCTCCAAATCCTTCTGAGAAACCAGCCCTGGACCGACGGTCATTTCTGCTGCGTGTGTCACAGAAGACTCCACCATTTTTCGACCTCGGTTAGATGCGACCAGTGCAATGGTTGGAGCCATCTTAAGACCTGCTCAGGCCTTAAGACTCACAGGGAATGGACCACGAGTTTTGTGGCCCCATGCTGCCAGCGTCCAACCGCTAACCAACAGCTCTGTTCCGTGTGTGTCAGATCATAGTGCGTCGGAACGCGATCTCAGTCAAATGCAATTTTTTCTCTGGATGGTGTCACTTTTGGACGTGCTCTGGCCTGCGCACCACCCGTGAGTGGAGTAATGCTCAAACACCTAGACCAGCGGGAGCAGGATTTCTCACGAGGGTCCTCAATTTGTCTCTAATCACCCTAAAGATACCTGATGTGTGGAAAATGGGCAGGGTGGTCCCGCTACTCAAACCGGGGAAACCAACCAACAAAGGAGAGTCCAATCGGCCGATAACTCTCCTCTCCTCAGTAGCCATGACAATTGACGCCTTACTGCTCCCGACATTCACTCACCATCTGCGTCCAGTAGTGCGACACTCAGATATTCCATGGCCTTAACCAAAAACCGACCCTGCGCGCGAGCTGTCCTAGTAGCAGTGGACTTGTCAAAAGCTTTTGACACAGTCAATCAATCAGTGCTACTAACGGCCGTTGAGGGATCCTCATTACCGCCGGGGTTGCAGAGGTGGGTCATGGGCTACCTGAGTGGTCGACAATAAACAGGGGGTTCCGTAGGGCGGTGTCCTCTCCCCGCTACTGTTTAATTTCTACGTCTCGAAACTCCCTCCAACACCAGAAGGAGTTTCCCTAACCTCTTATGCCGATGATTGTACGATAATGGCGTCTGGCCAGGATATTGATGACCTCTGCTCGAAAGTGAACGGCTACCTCTCCGATCTCTAGCCGGCAGCACCTGGGGTAAAGACAAAGAAACTTTTCTGCCGATTTATAAAGCAATTGGACGGCCGGTCGGAAACTATGTTTTTCCGATTTGGCCGAGGGCGAACGAGACGCAGATGAAGAAGCTGCAGGCAGAACATCGCCCTCAGGACCGCGTCAGGAAACCTACTGATGTCGCCGGAGCATCACTTGCACAGTGAAGCATCTATGCTACGAGTTAAATGACACAATCCAGCAACATGTACAACAACCGCTGGACAGGATGACGCATCGACAAGCACTGAACGCCATTCACCAGGAGTCAGTCAACACCTTCAAGGACTCCCTTCCAGTGAATGGCGTACTCGGAGAAATACCACCACCTATAGCTGATATATCGAGAGTCCCGCGTGACCCTGACACAACCTAGGTTTGGATATTGTAGAAGGTTAAACTTCTACTTATCCAGACTGACCCCAGCATACCGCTCTCCCATTTGTCCAACCCCGTCGAAACAGCTCGGAGAATCGCATCCAAAATCGCTGGAGAATCGCATCCAAAAATCCAATGAATCTCTACAAGAATTTGAAAGTGCCATATAAGTTCATGAAAGCGGAATTTACATGTGAAATTAAAGTTGGTGTGGACTTGGTCAAGGAATGAAGGTAAGCCTAAAGTATAGAATGATGTAATGTGGTGATATGAAGGCGCGGTAAGTGTGGTATCCTGGGGCAAAAGTTGAAAGATGTACATCCATCTGTTGGACAACGTGCTCAGGCCCGCTCATAACCAATATGACAAGACTACAAAATCCAGGAAATAACAGAACGAATCTGGTTTTGTTTTCTCATCCTAAACGCCGGGAAAGATTGTCTTCTTGTAGTGTAAATAAAATGGTCGGCATAATGTAATGAAATGGCTAGTAAAAATAGTGAAAATCGTAGCATGACGTTGATTATAAGGAATCTTTTTTATGGCGTAGGAATTTCAAAAGGTAATGAGATGCATAAAATTAAATATTATGGTCAAAAATTTAGTTGTATTATGAATATAAGGGCCGTTATTTTTTTTGAATAATTTGAACAAGTGACCTCCCGGCTGGTTCAAATATAATTCCAACCGAGACACCGAACTTTGGGCCACTTTTTGCAGCAAGCGGTCTCGGGCTTATCTGGGTAGAAGAGCGACTTCACCTACATACATCACAAAAAATACTATTTTGAAGGTCACGCCACATACCCACATCGCGAGATAATGTGCTCACCAAAAGCTTTCTTCAATTAATTGATTGTTTCGTTTGCGGTATCGCATAGTTTCTTTGAAAAATCTGGCTCGGTCCATTATCCAAACATCCGACGGATAATGGGTCGGTCGTACGGTTTGCAAATCAAGATCCCACCACAAAATGTTCTATAAACTAGATGAACACAGTTTCAATTGTTGGGCGTGATGTCCTTATTCGGGTCTTTTTAAATAGCAACAATAGCATTTTCGGTCCGCACTGCTCAGTATTTCTGGGGAAGCTCACTATCCACTAGGGTAGTAGTAGGTAGCGAAACGGATCCATGGTTTCTCGAACTACCGACTCTTTTGGGCAATTAGATCGACCGAATATTCAGCGCAGCGCGCACGATTTCAAAACAGCAAAGTAACAGCTGTCAAAAAGGACAACTCCGCAAAAAGTATTGCCTCATTGAAAACCTCACGTCTAAAAGCACCACGACAAATATAATAAAAATAAAAATTTATAAAATATTGAATTAATTTGGAACTGCATTTATAATTTTGCGTTTCGTACTTCGAAATATGGGAAATATGGTTTAGCTCTTCCGGCCAAGACTCGTAGAAACGAAGAGAAGTGCGAAAGAAAGCCACGTTTCATCTATATAAGTTCACATTAGGCTATATGAAGGTATGTATGTACACCTTCAAAAAAAATTTAAAGGGTGTGGTGTCATTTATTTGTCCCCAGTCCCTTATAATAAAAGACGATACATCTGCATCAGCCAAACAAAAGCCACTGTGTATTTATTTCTTTTATTGTTTTCATCCATAGCACACTTCAAAGACGCTTAGAGTGCAAACGGAGAAGGCAAAACCACTATTTCCTATTAGAAAGACAAAGTAAACTTTTGATCAACGTGAATTTAGTCCTCCGGACATTTCGGACATTACATGAACAAGCACATTACAACTATTTTGGCTTGAAGGGTTTTGTTGGTTTCCTTTTACTCTTATTTCTTGCATACTTTGATTTGCCAAAAGTCTGAAAATATATAAAATTTGTTAGAACATTGCAAAGAAACTAAAAATAACATTAGTAAATAAAATAAAAACTAAGTATGTTGTTGTGTTGTAATCGCAAAACTATTCACCAAAGTACTTTTTGGGGAATGTTGCGGGAGCGACAGTCCTTGGCCGGATAAAAATCCGGGTCATTCAGGTATAAAGACCACACTGTCGCAGGAACTATTGGATTTTAGTCGACTCTTTTGACAGGCATGCCTTACCGCGGGTAAATTCTTGAACCCCTACCCCGCAGGAGGATAAATACTAAGTACCATATTGTTCTTAAACAGTTTTTCACATCGAGCTGGAAAAATTTTTTGGCGTAGAGAGTACAGAGAACGTAAATACAACGAAAATGTCCAGGGGGTGTTATTTNTTGTGATCGTCACGAAGAAATCGCTTGTTGATGGCGGGGTGTAAGAGGAAGAGCTCGGCCATTCTTGAGATTGTGTGCGTTTCGCGTATACATATTAAATTGCTTGCATGTATGGGTTTTCTTTTTATCGTGAGTTCAACATCAATTTTTAGAATTTTGCTAAAATTTGATTTCGACTTGAAGAAACTGTTTGTTGATGAAAGTCGATGGAAAAGGAAAGGGGGTTTGCAAGTGGTAGGTGTTTTTTGTTGTTTTTACGCTTCGGCTTCTTCACTGAAATTAAATATTCTAGAATTTTCTGGAACCTTTTGAACATTTTAGAAACTTAGCATACAATCCTTGCCACAATTCATATTGTGAAGGTGCATGCGGGAAGGCAAGGAAATCGCTTGATGTGCAATATGAGCTAATAGGCAAACAGCAAATTTAGTAGCACAATGCCAATGGCAAAAGCGTGTAAAATTAATTAATTAATACCAATTTTTGATTATATTCTTTATGTGCTTATAAACTTCTGAGAAATGAACGCTAAATCCCCGCCATAGCTCGCTTGCAGCCCTTGCGGATAATGTTGTATCCGGCCCGTCTCAGAAGATCCGAACGAGCGTTCAATTTCGATTCCTGGATCGCGATCGCAGCAATTGACAGGTGAGATGAGTACCAAAACATCAAAATTCTTTGTAAAGATGCCGTTGCGCATCCGTATACTTTGCAAATTCTGATATTTTGGAACCCCATTCACGCGTCCAATTTTTTCCTATTAAATCATCTCTCTTGATGTCGCCAGAGCAACACTTGCAAATCTACGAGTTAAGGAGCATGCTGCTTTCCTGTAACTTCTTCATCTGCGTCTCGTTCGTCCACGGCTCCTAGATCGGTGCGGCATAGTTTACGACCTGCCGGCCATTTGTAGGTTGCTAGCAAGGTTTGTTTGTCTTTACCCCAGGCTCTGACAGTTAGAGCTTTGTGTATTTTTTGCGACTCTGGAGTTTTGCGGCAATAACGGTAGTATGCGGAGTGTAGAAGTGCAGGCAGTCCAGTGTGACTTCCAATATCATTGGGTTAATTATGGTCGACATTTCGTGCATGTAATCCTTCGTCAAGCTGGTGAAGAGGGTAGCTGAGGAGTGGAAGAAGCAAGCCCTCAAGTGTCTTCGGTACTGGGGAGAGGTGAGTTCTCGGCCGGTAAGACTTCCTTCGTTGGCTGGTTTTCCCGGCTTGAGCATCGGTACCACCCACGGTGGCTACTCGTCGCTTCATTCTGTCAGCCGTAGGATGCAATGTGAAGAGTTAGCTAAAATAGCTCGTGCGTCTCTTCGGTACTGACTCGGTCATTGTGTCTCGTCGGGTTAGACAACGACTTCACTGAAGCCCAGAACTTGGTTGCCCCACAGGCGAGAATGCAGGACCTTTAGTGCTCCGAACACTTTTCCTCTTTTCAGAATCTCATCGTTTAAATTCCTGATTAGGGTGATGCCAACGGCCGTTTCCGTGGGGAAATTAGTGAATTTCCTCCGTTCGGCCTGCCGGGATAAAGTAGACAATCGGGCGGAATAAACGTTCATTAGAGGAGACATCTGATGGAGTGGGGAGAACACCGAAGGCATTATCATTAAATTCCGTGAAACCGGACCAATTGGCTTTTTTAAACAAATATCCGGTGGTCTTCGGAAACAATCGAGATTTCAATAGATAAGTAGTCCGACGCTAGTGTCAGTATAGAACTCAGGTTATACTGTTTATCAGACCAGCACTCGCAAATTTTCAACCTGGCGAGCTTTAGCAAATACCCAGAACTCTGGTGGTGTGTTGTCGTTCATTGTGCAGAATGTCGTGTCATCTATCTGCTCCGCCAGCTCCATTCCTCTACGGCCATTTGACAGCCTAGAATGCCAAAGGTGTTGATAGGCATTAAAGTCGCCCAAAACCAATGTATGGTTGTAGTGTAATGTTCTTGTATTTTCCGCTGGGTTGGTTGCTGCACATTGGTGTTGGTTGGTCTAAAGGTTCTCTTATATGGCACACGCACCAGAAATAATCCATCGAACCAGAGATGGTTTTTACGTCAGCCCTGATGAGGAGTAGTTCCATTTAAGACTTTAGGCTAATGTTACCTGTAGACCTAAACGGTGTTAAATCGCCGAAAAGGTGACAGCCCTTCGCCGGATAAAATCCGGTCCTTAGAACCGGCTGTCGAGAGTTTAATCGCGAGATCATCTTTGACCTCTGCTTTACTCGCGTTTTGACTCAGCGACCGCAATTCTGTACGAGACGCACGAGCTATTCTGTAAGCATTTTTACTTTGCTGTCTTGGAATTAAAGATGTACTTACGTATTAAAGCCACCGCAGCACGATATTTGTTTTTTTTTTTAATTGGAAACAAGGCAAGTGCAAAGCGTTGACTCTGTTGGTCCAAAAATGGTCGGACGAAAATCTTCAGATGTGATCAAAAATTTTTCATAAAATAAGCGCAAACAGTACTTACTATTTACGAATTATTATATAAATATTTAACCATTTCAAAATAAAAAGTTTATTCAGAACTAACAAAGTGATCTGCATCAAAACTGGAATATATGTGGCCTTCAGATATCAGAAACTCAATAATGGTGCTGAAAAAATTGAACATTTATATAAAAAATTATGATTTCAGGGAAAAATCATACTTAATCTCATTGGCACTGGTTTGGCTAAATTTTTGTTGCAATTCCTTCCTTCCGATTCCTTCTGTAGTTATATTATTTTTAACAGCTTGTAGTACCGCCAGCTGCTTCGCTTCCAGACCAAGGTAGTTACCACCACCATCATTTGGGCTGAAACCAACTGCTCCCACATTTCCACCCATTCCGTTATCTGCTCTTTTTGTGGCAAACTCTTCAGATTTATATCTGGCATTAAGTACCTCCAATATATGAGTATTAATTTCGTTTGCATTCATAACAGCAAACATTTTAAAAACCATCAACATTTTTTGAGACCCCTGAGTTCGAACACTTCCGTATAGTTTGACATAATTGTTTAGCATCACATCGGGAGCTTTTGATGTATCACCTTCTTCCAACCAATAATGTGCCTCTATTTGACCAGATTGATCTTCCAAAGTGTAACTTATTTTGGTTGACGATATTTCAATTGATCGAACAATGCAAACGCATGAAACCATTCCAAATGTCATTCCGAACATTTGAAAATGTCCCTCTGGTGACAAAAGAATTTGTTTAAGGAAAACGGGAGCTATACCCTAGATTGAATTAAGTTAGTTGCACAGTTTTTGTATTTAAGTACGGATTTCTTTACCTCAGCAGATGATCCTCCTTGAGCAGCACTTTGAGTAGCTGGTAACTTTCCGCTAACTATCAAGCAGACAAGAACAAGATTATAAGAAAAGAATTTCAATTTATTTTAAATACTACCTGAAACATCCATTTCTCACTTTGCGCCTTTAAAAATATGAAATTCAAATACAATGCCGATACAAAACTATCGGCAATATAGAACTCGATTATTGCCTGCTTACTAATCGAATGGACCTCAATTTTTTATTGATTACACCTCTCAAGCAAATTAAGTATCAAAGCACCTATAATAATTTGTTGTATACCATGAAACTCCTACCATGTATTTTGGAATCACTAAGAGTTTTGCTGCATTTTTTAGAAAGTTAATAAAATGAGCCTGTGTATTTTTTTAAATTTAATTGAATACTTAAAGTTAGTTTTTTTCTTTTAAAAATACCATTAACGGATAAAATAGTTGGTCACAGTTACTTCTAACATACATATACTTTTAAAGTGCCCTGGAGGTCATATATACCCATCAAACCCCTTTAAATACTCTTGTAGTAGGTTAGGATATAGTACTCTACAGAGATTGTTTTCTCCTATGCTTGATCAAAATCTAAAATTTTTAATATNAACCCCTATAAATACTCTTGTAGTAGGTTAGGATATAGTACTCTACAGAGATTGTTTTCTCCTCTGCTTGATCAAAATCTAAAATTTTTAATATTTAAATTTGAGGGAAGACAATTTAATCTTCTTCACTTATGCTTGACGAAAACAAGCTCATTTCTGTGGCGAGGTTTGATTGTGAAGAATAGGTAATTCAAAGATGAAATAACATTCAGACATTGGATAACGCACAATATGTATTTTATGTGACTATTATAGTCTTGTATTTTCATACCAAATAACGTATATCAATTAACAAGCGGCCTTCACAACATTCGTGGAGGGGCGATATGTTGAAGCGAAACAGAATTTTCTCTTTTGTGTTGTCTTTCACGGTCACACAGAAATACTTTCTTTAAGCAATTTTTTGACATTTGATCCTTCTTAATTTGTTTTTCTTTATTCCAAGTTATTTTACACTCGCAATTTTTCGTATGCTTCGCGCTCTTTAATATTTCGAAAACAAAAACTCTATATGTATGTAAGGGAAGGCACAGCTGTTGGTTATAGATTTCTTATTAACATATGACACTTTTTACATACGATTAAACATTAGGATAGAGGTCCTTTCGAAAATATAATCTATTCACAAACCTTTACATATTTCATCTTTTTCATCAGAAACAGTTTCAAAGGCTTCTTCAATACATTATAATATATCTTGAAGTAATTCTACTTTATCTGCAAAACTTTTTATCTGAAATATTAATAATAAGATATGTATATTGCATTCAGATATAAATTTTTTATATTCGAGTGAGATTTAAGACAGCTACAATCAGTTCAAAGAGAAAAACAAAATAAAAGGGAATGTCAAAATCAAAATCAAAACTCACAAAGCGTGTCGAATGAGCACAGCGACCTCTGTGTGCTGTCGCATACGTCGTCAACCCCTCCCCTACAAACGTTTATTTCGCGGACAAAAAGTACATCCGTGTAAACTCAAGCAACCTCACCGGTAAAAATTATAATATTTGTAGATATGTGTACTGTGCGTGCACATTATTCTTAAGTAGAACTTCTTTGTAAGTTTGATTAGTTAATTTCTCGTACTATTCTTCTTCTTCCTCTTAGTTTTCGTACTCTATTTAATTAATCTCATTTTAAATAGGGTTAATAAGGTACCTTTCTAATAAAATAGTATATATAATTTTTAATTGGCACTTTGTAACCGCTGCAGCGATTTTTCTCCGAGCTCCTCCTCCAATTTGTGGTTTCGCGTCTTGATGCTATATACCGTTGAAATAACTTAAATATTCCTAACAACCCCCAGTATTTAATTGTTCCCTGGGTGAGGAGTCGATATTCCTAACTTATACTAAAACTAGTATACATTTTCATATTTATCAATTTAAAAGTTCATTAAAAAGCTATGCATTTTTATACGAGTATGCAAATGTTTTGAGGATAAATTACTTAAAATTTATATATATACACATAAGTTGCTAAAGGAGAAATCGAAATCACATTTATTCCTTCTCCAATTATATTGTCCAGTTTAATATGAGTATATTGAATATTATTCCAGATTTATTCAATTGCTGAGTGGGTCATCTAAGATGTCACTATTTTCGCTGGTATAAATCTTTCTCTAGCTTTTTAGGTGTCGCTTTTTATTTTTGAAATTGGCAAATTATCAATCGTCGGCAAGAAAGCGCTTATTGATGACCGAGTACAATGGAAACTTGTTGACATGATTCAAATAGCGAATTGAATAGAGAAGTGAGCAAAGGAGCTAAGCCAGCTGTGCATATGGAATTATTGTTGTGATTGATAGTATGAATGCATTTACATACATAAAAATAATCTATTGAAAATNAAATCCTTCGGGTACGATCTCTGGATTGTTAAATAAAACTCGCCAATTTAATTTGCAGTTTCTTTCGTTACAGAGAATTTATCTAGTGTCCTATATTTACTCAGTGATTCACAATTTAATTACAAGGCACTTTACTAGCTACAATCTCTTGCATCAACTTTCACAATTTACTCTACTTAAATGTAATTCCTAACGCGTTCACTTTAGGACTTAATTAATGTTAACGCCAACGAGCTCACTTTGTCACTAACTTGACTTGCAGTTGAGTGTCGCCCTTATATAGCAGTCGGCTGCTCGCAGACGAAAGCGTAGAAGCATCGAATTGTTCGCTATGGAAGGTTTTTGTTTTTTTGTTTCTAGAATGTACTAGTTATCGGCTTCTCTCTTTCATCTGACATTCGCCTCGCATTTTCGCAACAATATGAATATATTAACAGGCATATTCTCACTGTTACCAGTAAAGTAAATTTTGTTTACTTTTTTTAAGCACCCGAAATTGAATTTAGCATTCTAGCGCACAGGTTACATTGTTGAACAAAATTTGGCAGCACTGCTTCTTTTCGACCATGTCAAATTACATTTTATAGTTGGTAAAATAAAAGGAAGAATATTCACATTGAAATGGAAGGTGGTGCTCTTTAAAATAAATAAGTTTTATTTATGTGTTTATTAAATCATAAATATATGAACCTAGTTGTGGAAAATATGCCTAAGCGACAAAAAAAACTGAATGAAAACGCTCTCTTCCAAATTAAAAGGGTCATTTGTTTCCCGCAAACTTCTTAGCATACGCCTTTTATCTTCATCTTCAGGCCTAAATATGCCTACCTATTTTGGTTATTATTCGTTCTCAAACTAACAACATCAAATCAAACAGTAGATTTTTTGTTACATCCTATTTTGCTGGTAACAAAATTTAAAGGGTGACACCGAACTCAGAATACGAAATAGTAACCAAATTTACTGAAAAATAATTTTTAATACCAAAGAAAATTTAATTTCCTCTACAGAATAGGCCTGTCAATCATTTATTAAAAATTTTACTTAGAATTGAGAGCAAATCGCTCGATTTAAATTAATTTAATAAAACATTTGCATAAAGTTATTACAATTGAAGCTTTATTTTTACACCTTCATAGTTTTTAATTTGTTTTCCCTCATTTCCATTTCATTTTCATATTCGTCGACGAAAAGGCATATGAAGAGGACACGGCGTTTGCACAAAGATCGTATGAGTCTTGTCGCTTCTTATTTATATACGTTCTTTGTTTATAAATATTTCTTTGGCCCTTTTTAAAAATATCTTGTTTGCTTCGTAGGCAATTATACGTCGACAAAAACAAACAAAAAAGAAAATAAAGCAAAAAATATAAACAAATTAATAGGAATATACAACAGTGCATATAGAAGCATCCTATGAGAGCATCATCTTAAGAGTTTTCCCAGTTTAAATGAAATAACATGAAATATTTAATTAAATAATTAAATAAATATTATTTTCGAATGAAATTGCCACAAATCAGAACAGACGTGGTAACTCATTAACGTATGATTACTTTAATTTGATGCTGGAGAAAATCATAAGAGCTGTTTTACAAGACTGTTTACAATCTGCTGGCGTATGCCGATGATATTGATATCATAGGCCTTAACAATTGCGCCATTACATTTGCTTCCACCGGACTTGATAAAGAAGTTGACAGTCATAACTTCGAGGTCGTAGATAATTTCGTATATCTAGGGACCAGCATTAGCGCCAATAATAATGTCAGCCTTGAAATCCATAGGTGTGACTTTGGACTGAATGGGCAATTGAGAATTTAAGTCCTTTCTTGACGAGCCAAAACCAAGCTCTACGAGTCGCTCATCATACCCGTCCTACTATATGGCGTGGAAGCGTGGACGATGGGTACGGCGAATACCGCAGGCGATGGAACGATGAGCTGTACGAGCTATTTGGTGATATTGACATAGCTCAGCGAATGAAGAGACAGCTGCTACGCAGGCTAGGTTATGTCGTTCGAATGGATGAAAGCATTCCAATTTTAAAAGTATTCGGTACAGTACCCGCTGGTATAAACAGTGGAAGAGGAAGACCTTTACTTCGTTGGAAAGATCAGGTGGAGAGTGACCCGGTTTCACTTGGTATTTCTCACTGACGCCAAATAGCAAGAAAAAGTGAATGGTGAATGGCACGCTAATATTGATTCGGATAAAATCGCGTAAGCGGTGCCAACGCTAATAAAGATGAAGAACAAGAAAGAGTTAAGCAGACCTGTTGCAACATTACCTGCGATAATTGGTTTGCATCCGTACAACTAGCAAAGAGCTTGCTAAAAGAGGCATATAAGTTGACTATTCCGGGAACAATAAGATACAACATGCGAGAAATACCTGAGCAATGAAAAATTCGCGCCACGACTACAATGTTTTGCCTTTTATGGCCCCTTAACTTTAGCATAAGTTGTAATAGACAGTTTACTTGCAACTTCCTGCATTGCACCAGGCATAATAAACCCAACTCCTGGAAAGTCTGACATTATACTACATCTCAACCCTGCAAAAGGAGGTGTCGACATATTTGACCAGATGTATTCGCTCGTGTGGTCTTTTAGAAAAACGAATAAGTAGCTTATGTCAGTATTTTATGGCATGCTTAAAATTCGCTTATAAACTCTTATGATTTATTGCCACAGTATGATTTCCATAAGCAAAAAGGCGTTAAGACGAAAGGACTTCATTCTTG